TCAAACACACCTTCTCTGTTTTGAAACTTATAAAGGTATGGATCTCGGCCTATCTGTTTGGTTGAATATAAATGTGAATTCATAGAGTTTCAAAATCAACAGTAAGCCCTATTTTTGTGTGTGTGTAAATAATCTAATCTTTAGATAGATGCTAAAATTAAAATCATTTTTCTTAACAAGAAGAAAAAAGTGCAACTTAAGCACGCCTGAATGTAAAAAGGTGTACCCGACTTATTCGTTCACGATAAGAATTTACCGATTTCGGTATTTTAACAAAACTGTTTACGAGGGCAAATAAATAAATGAATGCTATCAAATCAAATTTAAGTGGATTTTTCCAAAAGAATTTATGAGTATGCACCATCAGGATTCAAAAATATTTCAAACTGTCCTTATTAGATGTTATTTCATTATAATTCTTTAAACTTACAAGTCGAAGATGCTAGCTTTTGTGAATTGTATTAATAAGTATATAATATTAAGATGACAACCAAAAAAAACTTCATACAAGGTCATCTTTATTCTCAAGTAGAAAGTTTATATAAATAGTTTATTTCTGTAGCCATAGCCGGATTTGTATCCCTTGTATCGGATTCTTCTTTCATTCTTTCCAAAAATGATTAATCTAAGGTTAATATTTTTTTTTAATTTAAACAGTGTTAGCCACCGAGCTTGTTCATTTCTTACTATATAGAAATGAAGTTTTTTTTTAGAAAACTAATGTTCTTTATTCTAATATATTGGCTGTATCTGCCTTTTACAAATAAGACAATAACATTAATTGAAAAAGGAGACGTGGAATGGTTTTCACTGAGAGGACTTTCAAACAAAGTCCAAATGAAATCGATTTGACCAACTATTGGTTACTATACACTTCACAATGAACAAAACCCATACCGTATCAAAATTGTCTGATTTATGACAAAATCATAAACAAATATGTCAGGCAGCAACTTACGACAGCCGCTATATTACATGTTCCTGACCAGGGACAGACACATATATATTGAGGCGGGCTTAAACATGGTTGTGAGCACTCAAACCTCCCTTAACATGGTGCCGTGGTGTAGCAATACAACATTTTGTTGTGTGCAGAGAATGATAATTCATTTATATTTCATTTTATCTGAAAGTTGAAAGAGAATTCATTCACTTAATGGTTCTAAATATTCAATGCGGAAAAATTCTCCTGCCATTACCTCCTTCCTTCCCTCCACCCACAACCCATCCCCGAAATGTTCATCACTTATATGCAAATGCTGACTAATGTTGTATGGTTAAAACATTTGGTTGAGGCAATATAAAGTTTGAGAACAGAAACGACAGCTTTAGCTATTTTTCATTTATAATAGGGCATAACTCAAGAACGGTAACAGTGACGCTACCCAATTTATAACTTGATCTGTGTTTTGAGGTGATAAGCATTTCGTGTTAGTTTTAAAACATTTGGTTAAGGCATACTAAAGTTGGAGAACGGAAACCAATTATTGGGACTTTCTGGACGGACGGGCATGGGTAACATTTAACGCTACGTCAGGGCAGAACAACAGGTCAGTAAAACAGTGACATGCCTTTCCGAAAGTTACAACATTTGCCAGCTTTTGTATATGACGTATTCATATTGTATACATCAGGTATGTAAAAGATGTATAATAGGACTGTGTTCAAGTCTTATATTGTGTATACATCTTAAATGGTGTCAAGCGAATTGTATTTTTATCAAATGCATAATTAGATATTTGAACCTAATACTTTTCTTTAAAAAGACGGCAAATAAATATTTTGAAATTAGCAAGTTGCCATACAGTTGAAAACAAGTTGCCATACAGTAAATTTGTCAACATGAGCAAGTTGCCGTACCCAAGACTTTATTTTTTATGGTCTATATTCTTTAAAAACGTTCATTTTGACAACAAATTTCAATTAATATAATGCCAAACTATAATAATCTAAAAAAGTGTCTGGAAAAATAATGAAAAACAGTTGAATATCTTGCCAATGGGGCGACAGAGGACGATCGACATCGAAATTTTCAGGTACTAAGTGGGAAGCTTTGGAGTATAACACAAAATCTTGTCTTAATTTTGTACTTATCGGCCTAATAATTTAAAGAATTATATATCAGAAAATCATTTCTTAAGCGGTACCCTCGTCAAATCAGTAGAAATGCTTTAAATTGAATGAATTCTTACCTTGTTTACTTTTTTTTTCCATTTCTCTCCGCTTCGTTAGTACCCAATTTCCGGTGGCGATGATACACAGTGTTATAAGTTGTTCCCTTTAATCAAACCTAAACACAAACATTAACCTGTAAACTATGTAAAAGTTTCAAAGTCAATGAACCATGGAAACGATACTTACAAATGTCAATAAATTTGCATACCAAATATCATTGACTTAACATTAGCAGTTCATTTTAAACTGATCTTATCACAAACGGTTCAGTTTTGGAGATATAAAGCCAAAAACTGCATTAAACCTCTCTTGTTTTATTTTTATCATCAGCGGTCATGTTTGTTAATAGATAACTAAATTAATAAACTGCTTCGCCGAGCGCAGCTGGATACGACCGCAGAGGTTCAACCATGAACAGTTGGGGCAAAAATGGACACAATATTCAAGCTTGATACAGGTCTGAATTTGGATTGTAATTAAATATTTGACACAGTATAGGTTTCTGACACAGAATAAATGTAGTCAAAGAACTTGAAATTGGTTGTGTGATTTGAATTTATATTCAATTGAAGATATTTCTTGCTGTTGTGCAATACACTGTGCTGTTGCCTAATGCTTATTAACGAATTAGCAAAATAAATTGTGACCCCCAATTTTTTTCTTTGGAAAATTGACAATTTCTTAAATCTTGAGGAAAAAAGAATTGACCCCCCTTCCAAAAAAAATATTTGAAGAGAATTTTCTTTTCAGGAAAAAAAATTGCCCCCCCCTTTCCAAAAAAAATAATTTTGAAGAAATTTTCTTTTTGTAAAATGTGGTACAAATAAAGAGACATCCATACACTTAAACACAAGTAATTGTCTGAAAACTAGAAAAATGCTTGTTTTAGACACTTTTTGGCCCCTAATTCCTGAACGGTTTGGGCAATTACCCCCGAAATGAATCCCAACCTTCTACTTGTGGTATTGAACTTTGTGGTACAAATTCAGAGCAATCAAAATACTTATACACAAGTTATTGTCCTGAAACTAGAAAAATGCTTGTTTTGGCCCCCAATTCCTAAACGGTTGGACCATCACCCCCAAAAACAATCCCAACCTTCCTTTTGTGGTATTGAACCTTTTGGTTAAATTTCATACGGATACATACACTTAAACTAAAGTTATTGTCCGGAAACCAAATGTCTTTGGACGACGCTGACGCAGACAACGTGATACCAATATACGACCGCAAAATTTTTTGCAGTCGTATAAAAATAAATGAGAATGTCCCCATGGGCCACAACTAGAGATCTGTAAAAGTGACACCACCCAAATTTGATCTGTAATTTATGGTAATAAGCATTGTGTATAAGTTTCATAAAATTTGGTTGAGACAAACTAAAGTTGCAGAACAAAAACGAAAAATTCAGCAATTTTTCCATTTATAAAGGGCACTACTCAAGATTAGTAAAAGTAATGCCACCCAAATTCGAACTTTTATTTGTGTTTTGTGGTAATAAGCATTGTGTATAAGTTTCGAACCATTTGTTTGTGGTAAACTAAAGTTAGAGAATGGAAACTTATTTTGGGACGTATGAACGGACGGACAAGGGTAACACTAATTGCCCCCTCCATCATGGAGGGGGCATAAAAAAGTTTACATTGACTGACAGATGGACGACGACTGAGGCAAGAAGCTCATGTGGCATTTTATACTAGGCAAGCTTAATAGACAGCAGGAGTTGATCACACAAAAAATACTATTGACTTGAGATAATTTTGCTTTTGTTTATATTGCTCCTCATTATTCAACTACTTGTACATCCTTGGTATTCTAAATTTTGGGTTTCATGGTTTCTGATGAAAAGCACTTGAGGCAACACATTAATGAAATTTTATCTTCATTTGCTGAAAAAATTTACCCCTGTTCTGCAAAAATGTGAAACAATTCAATATCTGGGCAGGTTTCTGTTTTTACTGATCTGGGTTGGGAATTGTAGGTAAAGATGTTAACACTAAATAGCCTAATAGGTGCCAACTTTTCCATGGCTACCAATTAAACCTTGCCATACTAGATTAATGGAGTATTAGAAAACAGACATGTCAGCAAGGGTCAGGCTTGCACATTTTGTGTGAGGCACAGAGACTGAAGCATACAAATTAAATTCATGTTCCTGGGTTGTCAATTTTCATAACTTTTGAAACATGCATCAAATCAGGATGTGTTTGCCATTGAATATCAGTTTTGTTAAAATCCAAGCACTGTGTATTTTGATTTTTGACACAGGGAACCATACTTGAATAGCAAATAATACCATATTGCTTCCTACATATTATTTTCTTAAAAATCCTAGAAAAACAGATGTTTCTCAAAATTTCTCATTTCATAACAAAATTATGTTTTTACTACAATTTTGACACCAGAGAACAATTCGGAATGCATATTATATATTTTTTTTTATACCTATATATCACTTTTGTTGAAATCAGACATGCAGACAGACAAACTATAGGGCACCCGCAGGGCCCAAATCAGTTATCAGAAACTTGAATTGACAGACATGAGAATACCTATGTACCCTTGAATTTCCTCTTTGCTGGTATGGACACATTGTCCAAAATAAGACTCAAATTTACAACTGACATTTCAAATGGCTAATACAATCTATAGTCAAGAAATAACTGATTGATGTTTGTTGCTTAAAGTCCAGTGGCAAACATTTCATGCATATTCAGGACTAGTCAAGAAATAAAATAAGACAAGTAATGACTAAACCTCATAGAGCTAGTCATTAAGGCCAGGTGATCTATAAAACAATTTTTTTTCAAATAATCAGAAGAAAATTTTCCATATTTTTTTTTTAATTTACAACAGAGTAGTTTATTTTTTAGGCTTGTTAGCCTCTTCTTCTGCCTTCTGTTTAGCCTTCTTTTCTCTGTATCCCACCAATCTAGAGGCTGCACGGGCCTGTCGGAGTGCAGTGAAAGCACTGAATTTCCTCTCTTCATCAGTGATCTTCCTTGCTTTCTCTGGTTTAGAGATATTGGTAATAGGCATCACTGCTCCCTTCAGTTGTTTAGCCATCTTTATCTCTTCAGCCTGGAAATTAAATCATTAATAAAATGCTTCGCTGGGGCGCAGCTTGATACGACCGCAGAGGTCGAACCCTGAACAGTTGGGGCAAGTATGGACACAACATTCAAGCTTGATACAGCTCTGAATTTGGATAGTTATTAAATATTTGACACAGCATAGGTTTCTGACACAGAAAGAATGTGGTCTAAGAACTTGAATTTTTTTAATTTACCTATTATGGTCCAATGTCCAAAATCAAAATACATGGTTAGATTCAGCATATCAAAGAACCCCATATATTCAATTTTTGTTAAAATCAAACAAAGTTTAATTTTGGACCCCAACTTGGACAAACTTGAAAACTGGGCCCATAATCAAAAATCGAAACACATGTTTAGATTCAGCATATCAAAGAACCCCAAGAATTCAATTTTTGCTAAAATCAAACTAAGTTTAATTTTGGACCCTTTGGACCTTAATGTAGACCAATTTAAAAAACGGGACTTAAAATTAAAAATCTAAATACACAGTTAGATTTGGAATATCAAAGAACCCCAATAATTCAATTTTTGATGAAATCAAACAAAGTTTAATTTTGGACCCTTTTGACCTCAATATGAACCAATTTGATAGCGGGGCCCACAAATAAAAAATCTTAATACATGGTTAGATTCAGCATATCAAAGAACCCCATATATTCAATTTTTGTTGAAATCAAACAAAGTTTAATTTTGGACCCCAACTTGGACCAACTTGAAAACTGGGCCCATAATCAAAAATCTAAACACATGTTTAGATTCAGCATATCAAAGAACCCCAAGAATTCAATTTTTGCTAAAATCAAACTAAGTTTAATTTTGGACCCTTTGGACCTTAATGTAGACCAATTTAAAAAAAACGGGACCCAAATTAAAAATCTAAATACACTGTTAGATTTGGAATATCAAAGAACCCCAATAATTCAATTTTTGATGAATCAAACAAAGTTTAATTTTGGACCCTTTTGACCTCAATATGAACCAATTTGATAACGGGGTCCACAAATAAAAAATCTAAATACATGGTTAGATTCAGCATATCAAAGAACCCCATATATTCAATTTTTGTTGAAATCAAACAAAGTTTAATTTTGGACCCTCTGGACCTTAATGTAGACCAATTTAAAAAACGGGACTTAAAATTAAAAATCTAAATACACAGTTAGATTTGGAATATCAAAGAACCCCAATTATTCAATTTTTGATGAAATCAAACAAAGTTTAATTTTGGACCCTTTTGACCTCAATATGAACCAATTTGATAGCGGGGCCCACAAATAAAAAATCTAAATACATGGTTAGATTCAGCATATCAAAGAACCTCATATATTCAATTTTTGTTGAAATCAAACAAAGTTTAATTTTGGACCCCAACTTGGACCAACTTGAAAACTGGGCCCATAATCAAAAATCTAAACACATGTTTAGATTCAGCATATCAAAGAACCCCAAGAATTCAATTTTTGCTAAAATCAAACTTAGTTTAATTTTGGACCCTTTGGACCTTAATGTAGACCAATTTAAAAAACGGGACCCAAATTAAAAATCTAAATACACGGTTAGATTTGGAATATCAAAGAACCCCAATAATTCAATTTTTGATGAAATCAAACAAAGTTTAATTTTGGACCCTTTTGACCTCAATATGAACCAATTTGATAACGGGGTCCACAAATAAAAAATCTAAATACATGGTTAGATTCAGCATATCAAAGAACCCCATATATTCAATTTTTGTTGAAATCAAACAAAGTTTAATTTTGGACCCCAATTTGGACCAACTTGAAAACTGGGCCAAAAATCAAAAATCTTAATACATGTTTAGATTCAGCATATCAAAGAACCCCAAGAATTCAATTTTTGCTAAAATCAAACAAAGTTTAATTTTGGACCCTTTGGACCTTAATGTAGACCAATTTGAAAACTGGACCCAAAATTAAAAATCTAAATACACTGTTAGATTCGGCATAACAAATAAATAAATGTGATCAAAGATTTTACAAATCTAATGCGCCATACTGTGCAATTAAAGATTACTTCTTGAAATTTTTCAATATTTGAAATTTGAAAAAAAAATAATATTTGAAGAATAATTCTTTTTAATTTCTGAAATCTGAAATGAGAAAAAATTGACCCCCCACAATTTCTTTTTACCCCCCCCCCCCCTCCCCTTTTTCCCCCAAAAAATTCTTTCCCTCAGATATGGTCATAATCTCAATTCAAATTTCCAATGGAGTTGGCAACCATAATTACCCATTTAAATTTACCATAGTGCTAACTTAATCTATTTTATAATAGAATTAAAAATATAATGTCAAATCTTTCATATTGATTTTTTTGTAAAAAAAAAAGATGCAACATTTGCAGATATTTTTACTGGTCTTCCTTTATAAATATGCATTTCTTTAAACATAATTTAAAAGCAGTGTAAGGGAAGTAACCAAAACGTTGTATTTGGATTACCTCCCTTACACTGTTTTAAATTATCTTTATTGTTCATTAACCATTACTTTATACATAATTTAAAAGCAGTGTAAGGGAGATAATTTCAATGATGTATTTGATTTATCTCCCTTACACTGCTTTAAATTATGTTTTGTACTAAAGTATTTGTCCATTAACCAGGACAACCTTGTTTTTCCCCCTTTTTTGCCCCTAATTCCTAAACGGTTTGAGCCATAACCCCCAAAGCAAATCCTAACCATCCCTTTGTGGTATGGAAACTTGTAGTATAATTTCAGAGAGATCCATACACCGTTCCACAGTTATTGTCTGGAAACTAGAAAATGCTTATTTTTGGCCCCTTTTTGGCCCCTAATTCCTTAACTATTGGTACCATAACCCCCAAAATCAATCCCAACCTTCCTTTTGTGGTATTTAACCTTATGGTCAAATTTCAAAAAGATCCATTCACTTAAACTAAAGTTAGAGTGCGAAAACCAATGAGTATTCGGACGACGACGCCGGACGACGACGCCGGACGACGACGACGCCGGACGACGACGCCAACGTCATACCAATATACGACCACAAAATTTTTTTGCGGTCGTATAAAAACTGTTATTACTGAACATATAAACATTGCAATTCAATTTTTTTAATTCTTTTTGTTTCGTTCAGCAAGCAGATATTTACATTCATTTTAGTAGACCAGGTGATCGCTCCATACTTAAATATTTAGTATATATAAAAAATAAAATGGATCAGAGACTCAAATTGCAAAGAATGTTTCTTAATCAATGCAGACTGTCTAATCTGGATATTTAAATATAGGGAACTATGAAATGTAAAAATGGGGGGAAATCTTCAAACAACTCCATAATGGAGGGTGCACAACCTCAATAGGTTTGCCAATTATCGTGAAATTCCAAAGATATGTGTAATATAAAAATAAGGAGATGTGGCATGATTACCAATGAGACAACTATCCAACAAAGTTCAAATGAAGTGGAGGCAACCATACGGCCTTCCACAATGAGAAAACTCCATATTGTATAGTCGGCTATAAAAGGCCCCAACATGAAAAGTGTGAAACAATACAATAGAGAAAAGTAACGGTCTAATTCATAACAAAACAATTTTCGAAAAACAAATAGAACAAAGAAAACTTATGGTCTAATTCATAACAAAACAATTTATTAATAAAATGCTCCGCTGGGGCGCAGCTTGATACGACCGCAGAGGTCGAACCCTGAACAGTTGGGGCAAGTATGGACACAACATTCAAGCTTGATACAGCACTGAATTTGGATTGTAATTAAATATTTGACACAGCATAGGTTTCTGACACAGAATGAAAGTGGTCTAAGAACTTAAAATTTTTTAATTTACCTATTCAAACCATATCATTATTATTTGCTTTTATATATAAATCAGAAATAACCAATTTAAAATGGAAAATTTTAAAGAAAAAAAAGGAAAAAAAAATTCCCCCCCCCCCCATATTTTTTGAACCCCCTTATGATTCATCACCCCCAAACTCAATCCCAGCCTTCCCTTTGTGGTATGGTACCTTGCAGTACAATTGCAGTGATATCCATATACTTGAACACAAGTTATTGTCTGGAAACTAGAAAAATGCTTGTTTTTTGGCCCCAAATTCCTAAACGTTAAGGGCAATCATCCCCAAACTCAAACCTTGCTTTCCCTTTGTGATATGGAACCTTGTAGTACAATTTCATAAAGATCCATACACTAACACACAAGTTATTGTCCTGAAACTAGAAAAATGTTTGTTTTTTTGCCCTTTTATGGCCCCTTATTACTAAAATTTTGAGGGAATTACCCCCAAAATCAATCCCAGCCTTCCCTTTGTGGTATGGTACCTTGCAGTACAATTTCAGAGAGATCCATACACTTGAACACAAGTTATTGTCTGGAAACTAGAAAAGTGCTTATTTTTGGCCCCTTATTCCTAAACTTTTTGGGCAATTACCCCCAAACTCAATTCCAGCTTTCCCTTTGTGATATGGAACCTTGTAGTACAATTTCATAAAGATCCATACACTTACACACAAGTTATTGTCATGAAACTAGAATAATGCTTGTTTTTTGCCCCTTTTTGACCCCTTATTCCTAAAATTTGGAGGCAATTACCCCAAAATCAATCCCAGCATTCCCTTTGTGATATGGAACCTTGTGATACAATGTCAGAGAGATCCATAGACTTACACACAAGTTATTGTCATGAAACTAGAAAAATGCTTGTTTTTTGCCCCTTTTTGGCCCCTAATTCCTAAAATTTAGAGGCAATTACCCCCAAAATCAATCCCAGCATTCCCTTTGTGATATGGAACCTTGTGGTACAATGTCAGAGAGATCCATACACTTACACACAAGTTATGTCTGGAAGTTACAAAAATGCTTATTTTTGGCCCCTAATTCCTTAACTGTTGGTACCATAACCCCCAAAATCAATCCCCACCTTCCTTTCGTGGTATTGAACCTTATGGTAAAATTTCATTGAGATCCATTCACTTAAACTAAAGTTAGAGTGCGAAAACTAATGTGTCTTCGGACGACGACGACGCCAACGTCATACCAATATACGACCACAAAAATTTTTTTGCTGTCATATAAAAACAAACATGACAGAAATGAACCGACGACAACTAATGAACTACAGCCTCATAAAGTATGTGGCGGGTTAAAGATGTTTGTGAGTGCTCAACCCTCCTTAAAACAATATTTGTTGCCATCTTTTGAAAAATTGACTGTTTAAAGGATCTTTGTTGAAAATGTAGTAGGAGTACACTATCCCCCATCCACCCCCTGCATAAAATCAACCTGCCCGACACCACCATCCTACAATCTGGTTTTGGACAAAAATAAATAAAAGAATAAAATGGCAAGGTTGCACAAATCCATGTCAGTTTCCCTTATTATCATATTGATTTTTTATAGTTATATTGTTTGTTGTGCTGTATAATCGTGTCATGACATATAGCGCATAATTTGGATAATTATAAGTGTTGAAATAAGGCTTAAAAAATTTACGTCATGTTTTTTTGATTTACAAAAGCAAAATATTCAAAACTAACGGAGATCAAACAAGCAAAGCTGTTTAAATCAATTTGCTTTCTTGTTTTACAATTAGTACATTCACTCAGTGTTTTTTAATAATTCCAAGCTAACTAGTTTACATTTACAAAGTTGTTACTTTTATAACTAGATATCATTGAGATGGGAGCCATCTCTGTGGGCCCCGCTGTGAATAATGTGTGGTAAAAAATTTGTATCTTTATCATTGGACATGGGGTTGTCAACTGAAACCAAAGTTTATGACCTTGACCTTTGACCTAGGAAGTTGTACATAAATTATGACTCACCCTCTGGTGTTGGTTTATATACATGTCAAGTATAAACTTTGAAATCATAACGGTTCTCAAGATATAGAGCGGACATGATCTTTACCATAGGACATGGGGTTGTCAACTAAAAAGTTTGTGACCTTGACCTTTGACCTAGGGAGTTGTACATACATTATGACGAACCCTCTGGTGTTGGTTTATATACATGTCAAGTATAAACTTTGAAATCATAACAGTTCTCAAGATATAGAGCGGACATGATCTTTACCATAGAACATGGGGTTGTCAACTAAAACCAAAGTTTTTGACCTTGACCTTTGACCTAGGAAGTTGTACATATATTATGACACACCCTCTGGTGTTGGTTAATATACATGTCAAGTATAAACTTTGAAATCATAACGGTTCTCTAGATATAGAGCGAACACAATTTGTTACGGACGGACAGACTGATCACTATAGGGTGTCCGCCATTCGGCAGGGCCCTAATCAAACCACCTGAGCTAATTATTTAGACAACCATGGTCATCAAACACCTAATTATAATACCGAACTTACATTGTAAACATCAATCAACAGTCATTAAACTGCAGCTATGTTTGTTGACTGACCAGAACAAATAACAAAACTTTATACAAGATACCCTAAGGATCATTCACCCCAAGTTTGGTTGAAATTGGTTCAGTGGGTTTAGAGACAAAGATCTTTGAAAAAGATAACAATGGAAGCAATGTGATGACAAAGTTTTTAAAAAGCAAAATCTTGTAAAAAAACCCACTTATTTTGCTTGGCCTTTTGTACTTTAGGCAGTCTGATTGAAATTTTTCAGTCAGTTGTCACTCATGAAATTTTATACACGTGACATTTAAGTTTACAATAGGTCAAAATTCTGTTTAATATTCCTATTTTCCAAAGAGCTGTATATAGATGAACATACATTACGTTTTGACTACTGTCCAAGGGAGATAACTATGACAAAATTTGAGCTATAACTTTGTCAACTTTTATTATTCATAAGTAATTAACACATATATAATAGTGTCTTTAAAGAAGGGTTAATCTTCTAGTTTATCATACATATCTTCAATAGCTCATAAAAAGGTCACTTCCAAAATTTAAGCAGATTCTAGATTTTTTTCTTACAGTTTTGAGACCAAAATAATGCCAATGCTAAATATAAAGTAAAAGTCTGAGTCAGCCTTTTCCCGCCTTTTGGAAAAAAAATCAAATATCTTAAAAAGGAGTTCCATAACCAACCAATATTTTAGCTTATTTTGTTCCTTAACTAATGTTCTTCTGACTTATAGTATCAATTTTAAATTCCAGTTTTTTCAAAGTGTCTTCAAAGAAGGGTAAATCTGGTAGTTTGTGATACAAAGTGTCTTTCAGGAAGGTTTAATCTTCTAGTGTATAATATAAAGTGTCTTTAAGGAAGGGTTGATCTTCTAGTTTATAAAACAAAGTATCTTTAAGGAAGGTTTAATCTTCAGGTTTATAATAGTGTCTCCGGGATTCTCCATGGATGAAAATTCAATCTTGGAGGAACTTTCACCAAGACAACATCCTATGATTCGTAATCAAACTTATTTCGTTCCCACATTTTATTGCAAGAAATAGTTGATAAACTGTCAATTATTTTATTAATTCTATTATAGAATAAAATTTTTTATCAATATCACCTGTTCTTTAAGTTATTTCTACTCTATTGAGAGTACACAGAGTGCTCATTAAACTTTAAAGTACATTATAAACCAACAGTGTTCCAGCTAGGATTTCAAAAGGGCAGGGTGCCAATCCTGAAAAAGGGCATTTAACGCGTGATATGATAATATGAAAAGGGCATGTTTTAATAAAGATTATAATCAAACATTGTTTGTTCATTGAATCACTGGTTATAAATATACAAGAACAACATCATTAGCCCAGAGAAAAACTATCTTTCTACTTTTTAGGCTGAAAACTTATCAAGCAGCTTGTGACACAAGTTTTAAATCATTGCTTGGCACAGTTAAGCTTTATATGCAGTATTTTTTGAAAAATGTCCTGCTTCATTCTGTTTCTATGGTCTGACACACTTTACATGTTTCACCTTTCTACCTTTTCTGTGCTTAATGGCAATACAGCACAAAACAGCTGTAAATGCACAATGTTAGGATATAATGAACAGTGAAAATTTGGATTGAAAATAAAATGCTAATTGTGCCCAAGTTGTATGAACTTTTCTTCAAGTTCAAAGACAAATGCCGACTGACCGATTCTATTTGAATGAATTACTGTTGATGATCATTAAATGACCCATCCGATAAACGGATTACCTATAACAACAGATTATGACACCTGTTGTAACCGTTGATTAGCTTGGGGTCGTAAACAAAGTCATATACTTGTCGCCAGGTAAATTTTCGTAATTGGCTGATCATATCAATACGAACAAAATAATATACCAATCGATCTTCAAAAAAGGCAGGGCGCCCTGCAAACTGTAAAAAGGGCACAGGGCGGCTCTCAGGAAAGGGCGGGCGGACCGCCCTGTGAAAACGACCTAGCTGGAACACTGACCAATGGTCAATAGATTTTTCCTCGCTATTTTGGTCTAGTTGTTGGGGCTTAAGAAATTTGGATATTTTTAAAATTCTTAAGGATTTTCAATTCTCAAATTGGAAATGCCATTGAAAAAGACCAAGCATATTTCGATGCTGAGAAAAAAAAAACCGAATGTATAAAATATGTATGATTTTTGAATAACGATACCAAATTTCTTCCATTATCAAATAGCAGTTAATATTCAACTTGTAAAAACTCTTTCCTTCCTTATTGAATTTAAAAAGTTAATTTTTTTAATCTTAATTGCCACTAGCATTTGCTGATAGGTAAATAAATTAGGCAGTTAATAGTCTGAACTTGATCAGTGTATTGTCCTATCGCCAGTATCTTACTGTACAAGGGATTAGAGATCATTGGCCCGATACCAGGGCATTAAAACAGTAATAAGGAGGACCCTTTGCATTATAATACAAGAGGGTTTGTGCAATTACAGGCAATCGATTTTTTCGATTTTTATTGCAAACAATTAAGGTGGCAGCCAGCAAATCCAAATCCAATTTTGACTTCACCTGTCAACCATGGCGGGTTCATGGAGATTATGTGATGATGGCATAAGATAACTTAATGATGGCAGTGTGCCATAATAAAACTTATCCCTGAAGTCTTTAAGGAAGGATTAATCTTTTAGTTTATAATGCATATTGACAATAAATAACAAGTGACCAATAGCAAAAATATCCTGGTGGTGACAGACTTGCAATACAAATTATACCGAACAACATATAGCACAAATACCCTGATGGTGACAGACTTGCAATACAAATTATACTGAACAACGGATAGCACAAACACCCTGATGGTGACAGATTTGCAATACAAATTCTACAGAACAACGGATAGCACAAACACCCTGATGGTGACAGATTTGCAATACAAATTCTACAGAACAACGGATAGCACAAATATCCTGATGGTGAGAGACTTGCAATACAAATTCTACAGAACAACGGATAGCACAAATATCCTGATGGTGACAGACTTGCAATACAAATTCTACAGAACAACGGATAGCACAAATACCCTGATGGTGACAGACTTGCAATACAAATTCTACAGAACAACATATAGCACAAATACCCTGATGGTGACAGACTTGCAATACAAATTATACCAAACAATGGATAGCACAAATATCCTGATGGTGAAAGACTTACTGTGGCATCACCCTTCCTTGGTCTGCTCATCTTCTTAGGGAACAAAATCAATTTAGATTTGTATTCCTTCAGTCGCTGTGTATTCTGCTGTAAAGACTCAATACATTTGTTCTTTCTTCTGTAATCAACAGCAATACCAATACTCAAGGCTTGTCTCTTATTGATTCCAGCAGACTGTAAAATATCATAAAATATTTTTCTGGATTTTGTATTGACTTGGACTTAAATAAAAGTAAACAAAACAACTGATATATACATGTTAATATTGAAACATAAAATTTATAAATATTTCAATGGTTTTGTAATCAAAATCATGTGCTGAAACATCTTGTGATTATCTCCCTTAGGACAATCTCCCTGTACATTTTAAGGTTATTGTTATATAGTTAAAGCAAAATTGGTCAGAATAAAATCTTTAAAATATTTGCTCTTCTTGAGCAGTTATGACTTCAAAACTACTAAATTTCAGTCATATATATATATATATATATATATATATATATATATATATATATATATAATTGATGGAAATGTTTCACTGTCTTTTTTCTAGAGATTATTTTTCAGTTTGTATAATTCAAATTACCAGCTGTCAAATGACTGGTGATTGATTGTTGTTTCTTTAATGTTCAAAGAAGAATATTTTAAATATATTCAGGACAAGAACAAAATAATAAAGACCATTTAAGTCTGTTCTTCTATATTCAAGATTATATTGATTGTTGTTTGCTCGAAGTCCAGTATCAAAATAATTTATTTATAGTTTTAGCATCATGTTCATATGAAACAAGTTTCTGGGGATTATAATGTTAAGGAAAATATTGAACCAATGCATTCATATAAACTAAACCAAGTCCTATGTGCACATTTTTTAAAAACAGTTATTCCGTAACCATATAATGTTAATAGACAAAAAAATATTTCAGTTTGTGATTGTTGATCAAAGTTTTTGGCTGCTAATTCAGAAAAATGGAGCACATAAAATATATGTGAGATGATAGAGCAATGTTGAGGTGTGTTTTTTTTTTATATTTTCCATGTGTTCCCATTTGTTTATCAAACTTTTTCATGACCTTGTTAGTTTGGGTTCATTTTAAGGATTTCTTTCAGAATTTGTAAATACTATATCCCTTCCCCATTCGTTTACTTTTTCCGAATTAAAATACTTTCCCTTTGCACTTGTGCTGTGTGATTGCATGATTTCTTAGGAATGGTGTCATGGTTTAGGTCAGCTGTCAGAGAATTAAGAAAACAGGATCAATAATTCAAGACTAAAACATTTCTGAAGATTTTAGTAAATATAGGATTTTTTTTTAAATAAAAGTCTTCCTACCCTTGTGTTATCGTAAAACTTAGCCATTCAAGAATATAAAACATATTCACCTTTTTTTTTATCAAATTAGAAGGGTCTTATGGCTTTAATCATGTTAATCTGAGGCTAAAATTCTAGAATGTGATGCTATCTGAAATGATTATTTTATAGATGATGTAATACCATACTTTCACATAATACAGATAATAACAAATATATACAAAAACATTTCAAGTTTCAGTTTCCTTCTGTTTGATAGTGTTCTATATAATGAAACATTTGTTACCCCTGTTAACAAAAATACCTTCAATTCTTCAAGGGTGAAACCCTTTCCTGATCTGAGTTTAGTGTTGTATTTTACTGTTGGACAACGAACAATGGGTCTAAGCTGACCAGCAACTGGACGAGGAGCAATCTTCAAAGCTTTTTGAACTCTGGTCCTATGCCTCCTCTTTTTTCTCATGGGCTGGTTGAACCAAGTCTTGACATATCTCTGCCAGTCTTTTCGGAAATGCCCATTTGGGATAATGTTGTTTCTTTTGGGGGCCATTATTTAACTGCAAAACAAATTCATAAATTAGATTCAAAGTTAATTATCTTTCATTTATTTAGTATATGCATACCATAAGTTCAGGCAAGTTTCTCACTAACGATAATTCTAAGGTGAGTAGTAGAACTCATCACTTTACATACAGAATGAATCATATTACCCTGATACTCAAGAATATGGAAATGAAGAGTCAAATGATGTTATCAAAGGCTACTTAATTTGAAAAAAGTCAAAAGGGATCATTTGTCAAAGTTTATTTTGTCAGTCAGATTTGTTTTAACACGATACTTGGACGATATTTGGCATTAGAATAGAGAATGGAAATTTGGAATGTGTCAAAGAGACAACAACCCAACTAAAGAGTAGAAACAGCCAAAGGCCCTAGCAAAATAGATTTTGGGGCCCACAGTAAATCTTAATAGTCCACAAAATTAGAGCTGAGGACAGGGGTCTCTTGAAATATTTACTTTCATTTTGAAGTGATGTGTCACATGTTATGAAATGTAGTGTAATGACAATAAAGATTTGAATTGAATTGAATTATATAAAAGATATTTAAGTTTTACAAATGTAAGCAACTAATGTCAATAAATTAAAACAATGCATTTGCATTAATATATATATATATATATACATTTAACTAAGGGGATCCAACCAAATGTCTGTTAAAGCGTATGGAATGCATATTTTTCACTTTTGTAATCATTATTCTTGTCAGTTGTGTCAATCGTGTGTCTGTAGTTATCATCGTTAGAATATGGATTTCGTTCATACATGTAGTTGGTCTGTGTCTGATCCGCGTTTGTATACATTTCAATGGCAGACGAAGGAAAATTTACAAAAATAGCCTAAATGATGTTTGACAAGCTATTTGGAAAGGAATATTATAAAGCATCTGATAAGAATTTAACCCCAGGAGTCATGTATCAGACAAAAACATTTGTACTACGAAGTTACATGTAGCAACCACAACATGCCCGCAAAACAGAACAGCTGGAAGAGTTTGACACACGCACATGTAAATAAAAACAGGTTGTGAAAACACAGCCTGTGATCAAGTGTCCTGGCCCAACCTCAAGTTCGTGTCAGTCAAATGAGCTAAGATCCAATGTTTCGAAAAAAAAGGTAACAGTTTTAAAACTGGTTTTCGGCAGATTACTGTTCACTTGAGCTGACAGTGATATTGTTGTCTTTTTTCAGAACTACCTCTACACTTTTATTGGGGGAAAAATGCAGTGCTATAACAGTCATCTTTGCACCTGTCGTCAATTTAACATTTTTGAGTGGCTGGATATATTAATTCAATTTTGAAATCGAGTTTGGTGCAATTTTCTGAATTATCCGTGGGTGTACGGAAGGCCGAATCACCTATGACTCACTTTTAATAACCCTCTATGGATCCATACTAAGTGAACCAGATCGAGAATTTATAATACACATGGCTTTTTTGCCAAGTAATAACATTAATAGTAGACGTGATGTCATAATACCCCTATGAAATCTACTGACCCTGTCTACAGATCAAGGGCAAAACCAACCACATCCTCACTCATTAGTCCGAGATTACTCTGGCGTCCAACGTCTGGGGCCGTGGGACGTCAGAGCTTGTCCCATATCAAAAAGTGGATATTTGCCCGTCCAAAATAGATGCGCTGCTTCGTCGCTTCTTGTGCCAACGGACGGCCTTGGAATTATATAAATCGGGTTTCAATTTGTTCATTTTTCATTTATCTCTTCATTTATGTAAGTTTCACCTACCTGCCACCCTTTATTTTCTCATATTTAGCCAGTTTTCACAGTGACCCATCGATTCAGACATTTTTACTTTTATTTTCAAATGGACGTCAAGTTACGAGAGATTTCGCGACCTCGAGACTCAAATATGCAAATATTTATACTTTTTTCACCTCCTTTATAGGAGATCGATATTTAACATTTAGTAGCCAACCACGATTTTTCACCTCCTTTACAGGAGATCGGTATTAAGCATTTAGTGCCAACCATGATAACATTCGGAAGCTCTCGGATATTTAGATTGCTTGCATCGTAAATGAGCGAGGTGTTAGATTATATATTCATATTGACCATGGGTCATATGCATACATCATTTCCCATAGTCCATTTTGCCTTACTTTTTTCTCGTGATCACATGACAATCTTTCAAAATGAAAGTCAAAATGCCAGAATCGGTGGGTCACAGTGAAAACTGTATAAATATGAGAAAATAAAGGGTGGCAGGTAGGTGAAACTTACATAAATGAAGAGATAAATGAAAAATGAACAAATTGATACCCGATTTATATAATTCCAAGGCCGTCCGTTGGCACCAGAAGCGACGAAGCAGCGCATCTATTTTGGACGGGCAAATATCCACTTTTTGATATGGGACGAGCTCTGACGTCCCACGGCCCCAGCTTGTCTGGCAAAATAGCCGTTGGACGTCAGAGTAATCTCGGACTACACTCATATACACGAGTTACGATAAATTTGAATATATACCTAACAGCATAAAACATCACATCCTCACTTATATATCCTAGGTGCTATAAATTTGGATACGAATATACAGACATACACCTATCCCTACATACATTAACTGACCCAAGCTTCTAGTGTTTTGATTCCATGAGCAGAAGTTCAGGAGAATAAAATCTATCTTTTCACACAATTTTAACATTTTATAAGATTAGGCCTGAAGAACCGAAAGTTCACAGGACCTACATGTACATATATCAATAATTTCTGCAAAACACCCTTTAGCTTTACCAAAATCGCGGATAAGTTGAACGCAAGGTACTCGATTCCCTCGTAGTGTCAAGACTCTACAATGTTCACGTTATTGACCTCAGTAAAATAAAACACTTTATTTCATGTTTATTCTACACAAATCAGTTGATACATAGCTGCGAGAGCTCTTAGAAGGCGACTATAAATCTAACGGTCGATATCATTGAAAATTTTAGTTTGTTACGGTACAAAGCAAAAAAATTGTCATTGTAGCTATTAAGCATGCATACATGTTATAATATTAATCGTTTGGTACTTCGATTGTTATTGTCATTTGAACAGATTGGTCAGATTTAACAATGCATAAGATTTATTAGACATACTTTCGTATGGCCGAAATGAAAAAGGAAGAGGAAGTAGTTTATTTAAAACATACCGGTGACGGGATGATCAGAGAAAACGGATTTGAAAAGCAAAACAAATATGTGTAAAGGTAGAGGCAGGGGTGTCCTGCTTTCCATTGCATAAAGAATAATTTAGTTATTTGTGGAAAACTTTAAGTGCATACTATTTAAGCTTTAATTAACTCCCCACCTGGATAATATCCGTTGAGGAGGTGTTCCATAATTGGAAGGACATACATAGAAGAAGAAGAAGAAGAAGAAGAAGAAGAAGAAGAAGAAGAAGAAGAAGAAGAAGAAGACTGGTGCCAGTTAACATGTAAGAAAACCCAAAAGAGGAATAAAAAGATCTATAATGCAGTAAAATGAACTTGAGTAGAAATATTAGTACAAACCTATTAGAAAACAATGTGGATAAAATATCTGAATTATCTAATATGTATGGAGTTTTAAATCATTTTATTACTCATGATTTTTTTTTCATGGAATGATTCATAAAATCATTTTCCAAATTTGATTAAACCAATGATTTATATAGTAAGACACTATACAAATCCTTGATGAAACAAATAAAAAATAATCGTCATGTACATACACCATCAACTACACGTAGAATTAATAAAAAGGCTGAAGTTCAGTTATTGTGAACAAAACGGGCAGATCTAAGCTCTAATTGTCTGAGATTACTATAATACTGTGATATACATGTCATTTAAAGTATTTCCAGCTCAGTCTTATGCTCTAAATAAAAGTTATCACAAATTATACAACCTTTTCAAATAACTTGAACTAATTTCTTGTGTTTTTCAATGGTTAGAAGATTTTCTCCAATAGCAATGTTTGGTGAAAAAAAATCTTGAAACGTGGGATATTTGAAAATTGAAATTCGCCTCATCCTATATACCCCTTTTATAAAAAAAACTCCAGTATCTATTTTTTCTAGAAAATGCAGACTATAACGGCCCCATTCTATATGTATTGCTAGCAAGGTTAATCACTTAGTATATATACAAGTCTTGTAAATTCCATGTCACACTGGAGTAGATAATATAACATAGATATAAGAAGATGTGGTATGAGTGCCAATGAGACAACTCTCAATCCAAGTCATCATTTATAAAAGTAAACCATTATAGGTCAAAGTACGGTCTTCAACACGGAGCCTTGGCTCACACCGAACAGCAAGCTATAAAGGGCCCCAAAAATTACTAGTGTAAAACCATTCAAACGGGAAAACCAACGGTCTAATCTATATAAAAAACGAGAAACGAAAAACCCTTATGAACCACACCAACAAACGACAACTACTGAACATCAGATTCCTGTCTGGATAGGATTCTAGGACAGAGTGGCGTAGTTTTACGATGAAGCTAGGACACGCTTGCGCAGTTTCATGTCTGAAAATGAACAAATGATCATTTTTATAGTCAGATAAACAAAACTGAAAAATTGAATAAACTTATATCGAAAGTATTTTGGGGGTGGTAAACAGATTTTGCCAAAAGTTAGATTTATTCATTTGCATTGGAAAGTATTTATTTTCCTTTAGAGCACAAAAATCCTGCGCCCTCTATTTTGGGCTCGGTAGGAAATTGAATCGGATGGAGGTTTTCCAAATTGCCGGCAGCCCTTTAGCTGACATGACATATAATTGATGTGGTTTTTTTTTTGTGAACTTAACTGATGATGTTGATAAAAATGTTAAAATCTGAAAAAAAAAAGAAAAATGACAAAAAATGTTTAAATCATTTTTGATACTAAGGTTTTTCTGCTAACAGGCATATATGGCCTCAAAACCAGACTAGGAACCACTTTCAAGAATTTTTGGCTTCCAGCGAACTTCAATTTCGTAATTGATTTGGTTTTCCAGCAGTGTTTCGAGTCGAGCGACACTAATGAATATTATATAGACGAGACGCGTCTGGCGTAATAAATTATAAGCCACGACAAGAAATATTTTAATTCTTTGACTTGTATACACAATGGTACAAAGAATGAAAGTATAACACATAGTATATAAAATAAGTTGTGCAGATGAATATAAGAATGTTAAAATTGATATATAAGATCATGCGGGTATTATTTAAAAAGAATAGGAGAACAGAAGGACGACCTGCTAGTGAATGTATTTCCTTTATAGATATACATCTACTTTCTTAACTTATGTGTTGTTTGTAATAATTTACAAAATTTAATTACATTTACTCTTTCACAGTAAAATTTATCCTAAATCATTTTTCGTGAGTCGGCTAGAGATCTTCAATGCAATAGATAATGAAATTCGTCACCTTATTCTTGAAATTGACAAAAATAACAATATCCGCTTTGTCAATCTTAACCAATCCATCTATAACAGTTTCAATTGGTTATCTGTGATTTACCAGTTCCAAATCTACAAAATATAAACCTATCTCTGTCTGGATGTATATCTAAACATTTTTCGAACTCAAACTTATCCTTATAAAATCTATACAATAATCCTTTTGATATCTGAACCCAAATTTAGTTGAAATTTGTCAAATAATTTTTGTTTTAAATTAATATTTAGCAATTTTACGCTAACTTTAAGTCAGTTCGTACCGTCCAGATATAACAATAACCAAAAGTACCAAGAATATATTTAATTAAATGGAATAATTCAGACATACAACTATTTTGTAAATGTTTTTATAACATAAAACTAAACAAAATGTGAGACAATTTGTTTTCTTTGCCGTGAACAATTCTAGACAAATAATTTACCATACACAAAATAAGGTAGACTGACAAGGGATATGGCACACTAAGTTCGCCGTATACCATGAAGTTTGGAGTTTAGTCCTTTCAGTTCAGTATAGTAGCTTGCACAATTTCAAGTGAGCTCTCTCTATAATATCTGTATTACTGAACCACCAAATTTCACATCCATAAAGTAAAATAGGCTTCCTTATCTTATTGAAAAAATCATACTGGCTTTTCCTAGATAGGTTATGAACTCTCGCCTTTTTAGAACATCATACATACTGAAGCACGATACGCTTTCAATTAGTAACACAATCTTTTTGGTACTTGCAAAGCTACATGTCCTTGCAAAAGTTAATCTCAAATATGGAATACCACCTTAACCTATATATATACAAAGAAGCTAGCTTTAAAAAACAAAAACAAAAAACATCCCATTCATGGTATAACGTGACATGTTCGTATATCATTGAATACAGGAATAACAGATTTTTTTTTAAATACTGTTTATGGTAGCAGCTTATTTAAAATACTTTTAATCATCTAATATAGATTTGATTCGTTTGAACATTTAGGGAATATGTTATTTCGAATTGATTATGATTGTGACACATAACAAACATAATTCTCTAAAACTAAAATTTAAGATACAAAGAATGGCATGCATAATAAAATACAAATAATGCATAGAATAGGAGAGATGTCTATCTACCTCTTTCGATTGACAAATTATGATTTAGTATTTTAAATTTACACAAAAAAAATATAATATTTATTAACAGGTTAACTCCTAACTATCCTACTGCCTGTCGATACTTTTATTTTTGGCATTGCACAAGTCATGTCTTCTTTAACTGTCCATGATGTTAAAACACTAAATCCCATGGATGTGTTTTAGTTGGTTTTAGTCTCTGATGCATGATTTTTCATTATTATTTGTTTTTGGCTTTTAACTAGCTTTCAGTAACTGCGAGTAGTCTCAAATCGTACTTTCGTGTTAATTTGACCTGTTGATACAAATTGTAATGTGTTTTTGTTATTTAATGTTTACTTATTCAGTGTTATATCTAGTCTCACTAGTTTTAATATATACCACCTTTGATAAGTGTTTAGTATGACGATAAATGTTCACTTTTGTTCTCGTACTAGGAACAATAAAATTATTTATTTTGTAAAAATTATTTCTGTACTCCATGTATACCTTACAACAAAATTATTTTTATTTACCTGTGTACGTTATTTTATTTGGCGGCAATATGTCCAAGGTTATGGTTGTCTTTCTGATATTGTTTTACATCTAACCCCCTTGTTTTATTAATTTTGTATTTGCATTGTGTCATAGATCAAATTTATTCGTTCAGTGTATGTTCACTTGTTTTTGTTAATATGTCTTTTGATTGAGTTAAGCCATTTCAATTGATATTTTATAGTGTTTCATTCTATGTTGTGATGTTACACTATTGTTTCAGGTAGGGTGAAGGTTGGCGCCTATTAAAACGTTTAAATCCGCTGCATTTGTTTGCACCTGTCCTAAGTCAGGAACCTGATGTTCAGTGGTTGTCGTATGTTGATGTGGTTCATAAGTGTTTCTCATTTCTCGTGTTTTATACAGATTAGACCGTTGGTTTTCCTGTTTGAATAGTTTTACACTAGTCATTTTTGGGGCCCTTTATAGCTGGCTGTTCGGTGTGAGCCGAGGCTCCGTGTTGAAGGCCGTACTTTGACCTATAATGGTTTACTTTTACAAATTGTGACTTGGATGGAGAGTTGTCTCATTGGCACTCATACCACATTTTCTTATATCTCTTTATTCGGTAGTATTTGAAAATCATTTTTCGACTGTTAAATCTTTCATTTAGATTTATTGAGATGCATTCGTCATTACAAGTTTTCAAAAAATCGTTATTATAGATTTAATTAGTTATGACCGATTTCCCTCCAAAAATACTCCTACGAACCTATCAGTGAAATCCGTCGCAGAAAAAAATAAATCTTAGTTTTGATAGGTACTAAATTAAGGGTACGTGGAGTAGCTCTCTGGCAATGTTAAGGTACAGCCTGTGTAGAACAGACTCCGTTTCCTGAAGTAGTTTTTCAAGAGAGTCCAATCTAAAGGCAAATTTACGTTATTTTTATTTTTAAAAGTGATTACCTCTGTACGGAAATTTCTAACTAAAACATTATGTATTAAAAGAGATATTCAACCCGATAAAGACACTCGAAATAAAATTGAACACAAACGAAATTTGACCCCTTCCTTATAGGGAGATTTTATTTCGAGATTTACCTGATATCAATTTTCTTGTGAAAATTTAAAATTTCATGTCATCTTCACCTGATATTATTTACAATGTTATCTAGCTTCCTCTTTGTTCACAGAAGACAATATACACGATGTAGTAGGAAACAAACACATATGAAGGTAAGACCAAATTTTGTCTATTATTCTTTTAAAGTAAATACCATTGAATAAGCAGGTTTTGGTGAGGAAATTATTAGTTTGTGGTATATATAAAACATGCACTTTATGATACGCCATATCGCGGAAGAAAAGATATAAAGCAACACAGAAATATACACTTAAATGTTATTGATGTGAATATATAAACAGAATAATAATTTAACCTAAAAGAAATAAATTACATACACGTGTGGCCAAATATTTCAATTAGCACTGGAATCTCTTAAATCACAGAAAACCTATTTAATAAATTAAAATGGTTCTCATTAATTTTGCTATCATTTTTATAGGGCCTGCTTACTTCAACAAATAGTGGAAGGTATTTCAACAGTAAAGAACGGAATAAGCTCTATACATGTCGGAAAATTAAATCAATGCTTTACTTGTAGTGCTCAAAGTTCAAATTCTGATTACGGTATACCAAGTATTTATGACGATATGTTTGTACATACATGCATACGAGGAAATTAAAAAAAAATAAATACGGACAAACAAAATGACAGACTGACAAACATCAGGCGGCATACTGTTAGATTTCTGATAATTTTAAACATGCAATCGTTCGAATTTTAGCTTCATTCACAGTGACGAAATTGGTTTAGTTTTTTTCAACAAATAAAATGGTTAAGATATTTGTGTAGTTAGTCATAGTAATTTTTGAAAGTGAAAATACCCTGTTCTTTTATTACTTTAAATGAAAAGGAAAAAAAGGTTTTATATTAATGTGTCCTGTCATAATTACATCACTCACACATTATCCAAAATTATGACTGAAAAAACCAAAGCCCATCAAACATAGCTATTATTAGTCCCTGGGTGAATACCCCCACCCCTTTACACACTTGATAATATGCATAGAAGGAAGCAGAAACGATTCAATGTAGAGGCTAGATGATTCGTCTTTCGAATCATGCTGGCCAGCATCGCTATTACAGATATAGCTGTAAAATATTTAAGCTTCATTCAATTATACATAGGAACCAAGTGAACGATGAAGCGATGAAGGTTCATTGGAGCCGCTATAGCCTTATTTCTTGATCTACTGAACTATATACACAAAACGTAAATACTATTAAGAGCTCTACATGTTTTTCTCTAACTACGTATTCACATATTATAATAACGATAAGATCAAAGAAAATTTTCAGAATAAAAATTTGACAGTATTTAAAACACTAAGTAAACAAGGTTTCAGATAAAAATCAGTACCTTCCCGATCTGACAATGGACCTATTGTCATCGATTGTCATATAGTACGTTATGGCTATAAGTATTTCAGAGAGAGAGAGAGAGAGAGAGAGAGAGAGAGAGAGAGAGAGAGAGAGAGAGAGGTCACACAGGTACTTAAACAGAGCAGAAATAAATCAATGTCATGGGATTTAGAACAATGTCTAAGATTAGTTAAGATTGATTGATTTGTTTATACTTAACGTCTTCTGGCAATTTTTTTTGCAAAATACCATATAAACATACTTACAGCTTTGGTAAGCAAGCTTAAGGTCCCCATTTCTCTTATTTAAATATAATGCCTAATTATACTTTAATATTGGCAGTTTGAATAAATAAATGAAAGAAATCTATTCATTCATCCAAAATACACAATAATTATACTTGGTTGCTTTATGAACGATATAACTACTACAATGTATTGATATGAAATCAGTAGATGTGATAGGATTGCCAATGAGACAATTATATAGAAGAGTCAAATTAAAGATTTAAGCAACTATAGGTCACTACACGCCCTTCAACAACGAGCAAAATCTAAACAAAAGGCATGACAAAATGTGAAACGATTCAAAGGAAAATACCAATGATTTGATTTATGACAAAACAATAGACAAAAAGAGAGAAAAAAAGAAAAGACAGACAGCAACATATGACAAACATTAAATTACAGGCTCCTGACTTTGGACAGGCATATATAGCATGTGGCGGTGTTTAGCATGTAAATCGGTTGGAAATGGCTAGACTCATCAGATCTGCACGAATTACAAAACAACAACTGTGTTCATGTATTTTGGTTTGTATCGATCTATTGAGTTAACCATTTGCATCTGATTTTTACAGTTTGTTCTTATGTTACACCACTGTCCAAAGTTAAGGTAGGGTTGAGTGCCCAAACAACGTTTAACCCCGCAACATTCATCATGTGCATGACCCCAGTCAGGAGTCTGTTATTCAGTGGTTGTCGTTGGTTCATGTTTGTCATGTTTGTTTTTCGTAAATTGCATTGTATAATTTAGTTAGTTTTCTCGTTTGAATTGTTTCACATATTTCATGGCGGGGTCTTTAATAGCTGCCTATACGTTATGGTTTTTCTAATTGTTGAAGGATGTACAATGACCTATAATTGCTTTTTTCTTTGTCATTTGAACTCTGAAGGATATTTTCGTTGGCAATCATACCACATCTTCTTATTTATATATCGATACTGCGCTACTCACCTTATTCGTCATATATATTAATGATAGTTAATTTTCCATGGAAATATATTTAGAATTGTGCAATCAAATCATTTCGAAATAGAGTCAATGAACGGTGAAAAGATCGAATAGTCTAGACACAATTTAACTTCTTGAGATAATAGGTGGTTGATTTTAGTAAGGGTATTCAATTAGGCAAAACAATAATTGAAAATTAAACCCCCCAAAAATAGTTATTGTTTCTTATCTTTTAAAAGTATTTTCTATAATAAATAAGTCTTTTCTTAAGAATACGCAGTTATTTTTAAAAAATGTACTGCATTTATTTGTAGTGTTGTCGTAGGAGATATTTTAATTCTTTTATTAAATAGTAATTAATTACTTTTTTATTTTTATTTTTAATTCAGAAAAATGGCAGAACATCAAACATCACATACATTTAGAATGTCATCTCCCCAAGCAAACACATTTCTGGTGCATTGTAGTAAATGGAAGTGTAGTCAAGAAACAGTAAATAGTTTGTTGAGGGAATTAAAGATCAGAGGTCTAGTTCCACATGACATCCTGACAAGTCTTTCTGACGAACTTCTGAAGAACAGTCTTGCACATGTTCTTGAAGAGGCGGCAATAGTGTTTCATGTGTGCGACCATTCAAAAAAGAGGATAAAAGAAATCATCAAGGATCATTTGCCAACTCGAAATTTTGCTAGGACTACCGTTATTGGTGGAGGTGGAAAAATCGATTTGAAAGATTTTAAAGAATTTACCTGCTTCCGTGTATACAATGAGCTTGATGTGTATAGAATAGCAGAATCTATTGCAAAACTGTTTGGAATTAATATTGAAAATGAAGATAACAAATCTGATAGTAGAAGTGAAGACGCTGTGTCTGCTCATGCTGTTAAAACAACTACAAACAGTTACAAAGATGCTTCAACGCGGATAAGGAAAGGTCAGAGACAGCACGAACAACACACAAGAATCAAATCTATGGAGTACCAAACAACATCTGTATCGGCTAGTCAATTGAAAAGAGCTTCAGAGATACAATACCCAAAACGTGATTGGACAGGAAACGACGAAAATAGTACTGACAGTGATGAAAATATACCACAGGGAGGTATGAATAGATCAAGCTATGATGGCCACGAACATGAAGAATGTAAACCGCAGATGAGATGTAAACCTAAAAGATCATTTAAAACAGTAAGAAAGGATGATGACACACCTAGCCTCAACATAGACAGTTTTGTTGACCACTATCTAATGGACGACAAAGAAGAACATATTGGGTCATTCATTAAACAATCATCATCTCGCTCATTTGGTAAATATTTATGCAAAGGCGTATTTGTAGACATTGATTGGTTATGTTAACTAGAAGGCCGCGTAATCAAAAAGAACTTATAAAAAGTCGAAACAAAATAAAAATTTAAACATTAGTATCATAGGAAATTTTCAGAAAATGCTATGATCTTAAGACAGAGGGTATATAAGGAATAATGTGAACCTATTAGCAATATAAGGCTTCCTCCTCTTGCATACTGATTAGCGTTTTATAACTGAAACAATTACATTTTGAAACCGCAACTTACTATCGCTAGTTGATTTCAGAAAAAAAAAACAAGGAAGTGTGCACCTATTGAACTTTCAGTTAACCTTCACGAAAATAGATGGCAACTCAGTTTAACATGTACACGCAAGATAAAAATCGGACACCATTGTATCTCAAAATCTCTGTTTTGTAATAGTTAAAATTTAAAAAAAAAATAGATTTTGATCAAACTTTACATCTGAATGTAGTTTAATCCTGTTCAATTGTTTTACTACAATATCACATTTAATGGTTTTATTTATAACATTCCCCCTTCCCCCTTTAAATCAAAAACAAATGACTGTTTGATGTGAATAGTTTAGTTCTGATTTCAGTAAAATGTGACCTGCCAATGGAGAGAAAATTAAGTCTTTACATTAAAAATCCGATGTTTGAGGATTATCAGAAGGACATTACAACTCGTATTATACCCCAACTTAGGAAAGAACAGGACATTCGAAGTCTGTCTAAATGGCTAAATTTTGACAATTATAGAGTTAAAGAAAAAATATTATGTGAAATGGAAGCCCTGTTAATCAGTGCGCCTTTAAAATCTTCCAGCATTAGTGATGTAGTGCATATTACGGATAATATTCTGATTTGCTGTTTCCGGAAAGTTGTTGAAGCAGACGATACCATGTGTACACCATTACGTGTATTGACTTCATGCTTGGTAATTTTGTGGGTTTTAAATTCAGAGACCTCGAATACTACAGCATATATTCAAGTTCAAAACATTTCATCAAGAGTGCATGGGGATCTAAATACAATCAAACGGAATTCATACACAACGGTGTCTGGTCAGATCAACACATTGTTGGAATTGATAGAGTTTTTTAGTGAACATAGTTTCCAAAGAAATTTCTTAGATGAGATTCTAACTGAACCAAACAACGACAAAGCGATCAAAGGGTTTTCAGAACTGGATCATCAAAACAAGTTTCTGTACATATTTGTACTTATTAATATGGTAAGAATAAGGAATAGAATAGGCTATTATCATTTTGTTTCAATTACTGGAAGTTTTTTAAATTTTGTGACATGATTGAAAATGAGACAAGTGTTCCTTCGAGTTAGTTCATTTCACAAGATCTTTTTATAGTTGTATTATATATATATAGTTTTTTTTTATTGAAAGAGTATTGGTAGATAACGTTTTTCTTATGTTAGGTGAGTATTTTACGATCAATCTTCATTAAAAACGGTTATAACTAAATTCAGTACACATAGTGCGCAACAAATACAATGAAAGAAATAGCTCTAAAACGGACCTAGAGTGGAAAACTGAACCATACTTTGCCTGAATAAGTTGCAACACTAGCTTTTATAAAAGTTGTGATTTTATTTTATACAAATTAGTGCAATAAATCTTGATTAATGCTGAAAAAAGGACAACCGGGCTAATAATGCCTCCTTTAAGCTGAATGTTCCACCGGCATGGATATAACCCAAAAGTATTTAAACCAATTTTAAATGTACGGCTTTTGCCAAGTTCGATGCAAGCTTTTGATTAATTGGATTCCTCTGGAACTCTAATAATTTAAAAGTTAGAAAAAAACCATCTTAGACAAATTTGCCTTATTCATATTTACATCAGTTTTATAAAGTTGAAAATTGTCTTGAGCTGAAAATCTGTAAACGAAAATGTCATTAAAACTCAAGGATACCAGGCTTATAATTTGAATCGCCAGACTCGCGTTTCGTCTACATAAGACTAATCAGTGGTGTATTATTAATCCATTGATGAGATAAGTACATCTGTAAAGTACTGTTTCCTTATTGAACCGATGTTCAAATATCCGAAATTCAATTTCAATATAGTTGAAAAACTAAAGGCATCGTATGCATCACCCGCCATGCGAATCCAGCCAATCAGTCAAAATGTCTGGATAGGAAGTTCGAACGAGGACACAATAGGTTAATGTACAAATCAGACGACTATTCCCGTATATTAAGATATAAGACAAAAACAAACTGTAATCGTTTAGTAATTTAAGATATCCAATCCTGGCGTTATTGATGTTTATGTGTGAAATCAACATTTCTTATTTTAATACCAGATGTTACAGCGTTCTTCAGAAAAAATCCCCGACTTACTGGTTGTACTGTTGAAGTTGACCTTTGATGTAATGGTGAAGAAGCAGAAACACAGGCAAACACTGCACCCGCTATTATATATTGTCAACAAAGGCATAGTTCTAAGATTGTCAAAAGGTAAAGGTGTCATACCACCAATTCAAAAACCCTATATAATCAGCAAAATTTTTCAATTTTCACAGGTTTCTAAATATTTTACCTTAAGTTTAACTTCATAGAAACCAGGTATATTCTGAATTGTACATGTATCAACTTTCTATATGCCATTTTTCAACCAATGTTTAAAGTCTTGCAGTGAAAAAAACACCGTTCGGATGTCAAGTGCAACGAAAAATAATCCCTAGTTTTCTGGAAATCTTAAATAAATATACCTTGGAGCGCATCAATCCTCAATTTTTAATGCAAAATCATGGACATGTAAATTTGGGCTCAAAATGGTGTACATATATTTCTCTTTCAATAAAAATTTCATCTCTGCAAATTTGCTTGTTAGTTTAAGTAAACAATGACATCAAAAGCACTATTTTTTTGTCAGGGTAGTGCTACTTTTACATATGTTCTAAATTGAAGTGGGTGAATTCTTAGCCTGACACCTAAATATATAGCTTTCGTCATATTCGACACTGCATTCTCTCAGAATTGAAGAAGTATATAGAAGCCTCTTTTTAGCAAACTAATTCGTGACAGAATGCTTTTATATTTCTTATTTTAATCTTTGATGATATTTTTCACCGTTTGGTATAAATCGATGGCACATATGAGATGGAATATTTTATAAATCAGAACAATTCAGTAATGCAATTTGTTATATCTAGGTCCAGACCATGGGAAAAATTGGAACATATCAAAACAGTCATTGCTAACTTGCTTGAGAACATACATAACCAGCAGACGAATTGACCTTCAGTGGCGAGTAAGATTGCTTTCTTGTTTGAATCCATTGTTGTTTGATGCAGATAAAGAAATTGTTAAGGAGGTGCTTCAAGTTTTTGAGAAATGCGGTTTCAAGCATAAACAGATACGTGATGTTATCTTCAAACATGTGCAAAACCTTTTGACGGCTATCAATTTCAGAATGTTTTCATACAAGAAATATGAAACAAGTCAAAAACCAATGTGGTGTGAAATTCCCGGAAAAATTTGGAATGAGATGGATGTCTCATTGCACATTCTTTTACCGACAGTAAAGTGCCTCACCAGTGGGTCAATGGAGGATTACCGAACGTCAGCGGAAAGAAAGGTGACTATCAAACACCTCAATAGTCTTGAAATGATGAGATTATTGCAATATGAAAATAGCCACCCAAATCTTGTAAAGCTGATTGCTTTTCAATATCGACCATTACCTTTATATTACTTAACCGAAAATCACAAAAACTTACATACACATTTATTGGACAAAAGACAGTACCGCAAATATCTGTCACGTGACAGTCTTGGAAATATGACGATCAATGTTATAGACGCAGTACTGTTTCTACATAGTAAAGGTATGGTCCACAGGAATCTTACAACTCACAGCTTCTGTATTAATGAACATGGCATTGTCATGCTGGAAGATTTCAGTTTGGTTAAAATACTTCAAAAGTCGGAGAATGGTGACAGCAATTTCACCAATGGTATGTTGATGTTAAAAAGTCTAATGCATTGATGCAATTGGATGTAAACTAAACATAGTTTTACCTGCTTGTTTATTAATATACTTTTGATAAGATTATTGTTTCAGCTGTTCTTATTAGGGCCTTTCGATGTTTATACACTCAAAATTAACGTTTATGTTTTTAGTTTTCAATTTTTTAATGAATGTATTTCCAGAAAGTTAACACGGTTTTAAAATCTGTTAAATATTAATACTGAGAACTAAAACTATTCTGGTGATAAACTATTCATATCGGAATTTTTAAAGGCTTGCACGACATAGTTTGGACATACTAAAACATGTCTACGCGAGTAATTTCAACTAGTTATATCTTATTATTCAGGCACCTTTTCCCAAAATCACACATTTAGTTTGAAAGTTCATATTCAATATTAAGACATCATGCTTGACACAGATACACAACTGTCAGAACTTGTACTCAAATTGTAACGTGGCAGTAAACTATACAAATTAAATTTAAATTTCAATTTCTCATTAATTTTCTGCGTGCCTTATATATGCATGTGAGATATACATTTATATTTTGACGGTTCTTATAAAAGAATGCTCTCAAATGTTGTCTTTGTTTTGTTGCGTTTTTTACTTGGGCCTATCTGATGGAGGTGTCTAGTATTCATTAACACGTGTCGTGCGCAAAACTTAAAAAAGAACTTTCGGTATCTGATTATTTACACTTTTAGAATTATTTAATGATCTTAAGTACGTAAATCTTGCATTTGAAAAAAGAAGTACCAAGCATGTGATTTCTGTATCCTTTATTCCTGGCAAAGATGAAATAGTTATGAATTGAAAAAAATATAAATTTGAACAATTTTCATTCAGTTAAGGGTTTTGTTATGCTGTTTGGTTTGAAAGTTTTTATTTGATGTTGTTGTTTCTTTGTCGTTGATAGGGGTGTTGTGGGTTGGTTTCTTTTTCTTTAGGGGGGGGGGGGGGGTGGTGGGGTGAATAGTGCTTTTTATATAGCTTAGTGTTTGAATATTATTAATTTCAGACGTCAATGATGGCGATATACCAGTGTTATATTCTGCTCCAGAATCAGTGTTGGAAGACAAATACGATTTTCAGACAGATATTTGGATGGTAGGTCTGCTGTTATATGGGATATATACCCATGGAGGTATACCGTACACTGCCTATGGACTTGCTACTGAACAAATTCTAGAATATGTAAGTATTAATTAGTTGGAAATTTATTTGATAATTTTGTTTTACTGTTAGCTTTTGAGTGTCTTTTAAACTCACTGAAAAACATGTCACCCAGAAGATCATTCCCTTCATTCAATGACAAAGTTAAGAAAACCACAGAAAAAATGAAATTACTGTTATTAATATCTTGCTCAAAATATGAAAATTATGTTTTCATTCCAATTGTATATATACCTTTGTATTGTAGTATTTTTTTTCGTAAAGCAACGCAATTAACAGTAAAATGTTCGATGTCAAAAGTAAATTGTTAGACATATATTTGGTATAAAAATGTAGTAGATCAAGCATTTTTTCGTGTTTCAAACTGTAATGACCGATATCAGTTTTTGGACGAGAATAAGGATTTCTGGAAATCATATTGAAATTATTGTATTGTATGTGTTTTTACATTGAAGGTTGTTTTCCAAGATCTGAAACCTACAAAATGGCCTTGCATACCGACGGAAATTTTTAAAGCAATTATGGCAAGCATGCATAGCAGCCCCGACAGTAGGGAGGAATTACAGCAGATTAGAAAGTCGATAGATGAATACCTATCCGATAGGAATACTGGTAATTTACTTTTACAAATTGTGACTTCAATGGAGAGTTGCCTCATTGGCACTCATACCACATCTTCTTATATATATCAAAGTATATAGATATTAAACTCAACAATTTGTCGATATCATATCAATGAATAAAATTAAAAAAAAGGTTAAGCTTACAGTCAGTAATAAAAATAAGAAATAATTATTGTAAAGTATTATATATACAGAATATCATATTGCTTTTTCAATATCACACCCGTATCAACCCGAGACACCAATATAATCCCAAGAGCTCTGCTCGAGGGATTATATTGGTTGAGGGTTGTATACGGGGTGTGATATTGAAAACCCCATATCATATACACTTTATCATATACCTCTAGTACATGTTTTTTTCTTCTCTCAAGCAATACAGATTAGAGGTTTGATAAAGCTTATGTAACCGTGACCGATATCGATATCATCACGGATGGTTGATACAGCACGATTGACATTGATTGTATTACCACTAAGTATATAATAAATAAAAACAAGAAGATGTGGTATGATTGCCTATGAGACAACTCTCCACCAGAGACCAAATGACGTAGAAGTTAGAAACTATAGGTTACCGTACGGCCTTCTACAACGAGTAAAACCCATACAGAATAGCAAGCTAAAATAGGTCACAAAATGAAAAACCAGAAAACTAACGGCCTGATTTATGTTCAAAACAATAAACGAAAAACAAATGATATACAGCAACAAACGACAATCACTGAATTGCATGCCCCTGAATTGGGACAGGCACATACTGAATGTGATAGGGTTAAACATGTTATAATAATAAAAGAATTGTTTTGTGATTTTTTCAGACACATTGAACCGTTTATCGACGTTATTTGAAATAGACAAAATGTATCCACCACCTGACTGTTCAGAGCCAGAAAAGGGACTACCACAACTATTTGTAAGATTAAAGCAGGATCTTAGTAAGTAGAGATTGACAGAAAAAAGAAAATGTACGATATACTGTGAAATCTGTCTTAACCGTATCAATCGGACCTGATGCTTATTTTGTAATGATTAGACAGGTGTTCAATTTACACCAAAAAAAATACTGCTTAAGAATATTTTCTACTGTATGTTGTAGTGCAAGAATTCAATTTACAAAGGTCTCCTTGTTACATATGTTTACGATTTAGACTTGTTTCACTGTATTTTCAGTAATACAATTTTGTTGTTTACTAGTAGTAATAATAAAAATATTCAGAAACTTATAGATTGACAAGACTGAAAACATAAAATTTCTACAAAACAAAATTAATGGCATATTTGTTCTAAAGAAATACTATTTAATGAAATGATCAGATGTTCAGTCTTATTTCATGCAATTTCTTTCTAGTGTCAAAAATGAAATACTGTAAATTCAGCAATGTTTGCGATGCTTTTATGATCGAAAAAATTGCAAAGTCAAAGGTGTCGCAACAATAAATACACACATTTTTTTGTGTATGCAGTATTCAGTGAAGTTAAAATAGTTAGTCCCATGATTTTGTCTTTTCTTCAAAAATCCCAATGAATTCTGAATTTACAATAATATGAATTTCAGATCTACATAATTGAAACATTTATAAGGTACGGTATATTTTCGAGTACGTATGCTAAAATATGCTTTTTGTAGATCCCAGAATGTCATATTGTAATTTGAGACTAAGCAAGATACGTTCAAATAGATGCTGTATAACGTTATCTGACATTACAGCCCCTGACACACCAGTGCGTCACGGAAACGAACATGTGAGTTGTTAAAATTCATTTATTATATTTATATTTGAATTATTTCATTCAAAACCACCAAGGTGAACATTTAAAACAATGCTAAATACAATTGACAGATCGTCGCAATCCATGAATTGAAAATCTATTAACCAATTATTGCTGTATTCCATTACAACAGACAACCTGCAAGGCTGTACATAGTTGAAACTAGAAATATTGATTTATTTAAAACCAGTAACAATGATGATGTTTTTAAATTATAGTCGAGATCCTTAAGAGTAGAAGAACCAGTTAATCAAACGTTTGTAGAAGATGAACTACCTCAAATGACAGAAGAGCTCTGTCGAAAAGTTCTTAAGATGGAGGCATTACCCACAAAGAAGAAACGACTGCTATCATCAGATTCAGACTATAAATATGAACTTGTGAGTAGTGTATTGCATGGCTTTATGAATGAATATGTAGGGTACATTGAAATGTGACAGGAATCCAGGCAAACCGCATATAACGTATCTGTGGTTGGTATTTCGATGGAAATTAAGTGTGCTTAATTCTCATAATAAAGTTTTGTTCCTGAAATATGAATTGCTGATTTAGTTTAACGATCCAGAATAAACAACTATTGATAGATTTTTATTTAAAAGATCTGTTAACATGCATGTTCTCTTACAATAATCCTGCTGTTTTATATTGCAGTGAAATGTTTCAATTTGAACGAATTGTACTATAACTTTATAAAAACTGTCAATGTCCCTTGTGAACCTTGATGATAGCAATTCCCCTCAATGTAATCTTCCTGCCATAGTGTATGATAAGCAAGACGAGTTTTCATTTCTTATTGTAAATGTTCCTTGCCTTCATACATAGATGTTCCGGTTTTTCTCATTGCGAATTGTACATTTTTCTGTTTGGTCTATAAGCACATGGTCGCAGCTTACTGTTAATATAACTCATTAATCATATAATTGTAAGAATGGTTCTCCGAGCCTTTTGTTTTGGTCTATAATTATTTGTTGTTATAAACCGTAACTGTTGTGTCTTGTATCAACATTAATTTGGGTGTCTTCCTCCCATTCCCACTTTTTAAAAATCACTATTCCTTCTATTCCCACATGCAAATAACAATAGATGTTTGATAAATAATTTGTTTTTATAACAATTAAGGTTAATTAAAAATTCACCAAAGATTTACCTGTATTTTTTAAAAGAAAACATATTTCTTACACTGTTTAAGTATAATATTGTTAAAAAACAAATTTAATACACTGTTTATTTGTAAGATGTTTTTTCTTCTTCAAAGAATTACTTAAAAAATAAAGAATAAGTCAGATAAATACATGTAGAAGTAAGATTAAAAAATCATTGAATTTTTAAACTTAAAAAATTGTCATCCGAACAAATAAATTGATGATAGATAATATTATAACAAACTTTCCCATCTTGCAAGATTTCCATGTACAACAAATCAAGAAGAAAAGAACCTACCAGTTTTACCAAAATCTGTTGATGAAATCAACATAGATGGTATTTGGGCACGTACTACAAAAGGTGACCCATTCCTGATAACATACGACAACACAGTTGGGCGTATGTTAATCTTCAGTACTCAAAACTTCTAACACACTTAGCAGCTGCAGATATCATATATCGTGATGGTAAACTTTACTCCTGTCCGAGCCTATTCTTCCAACTTTACACATTTCACGCAATGGTTGACGGCGCAATGTATCCACTGGTACACAGTTTACTTCCAGCCAAGAGTGAACTAGTATACACAAGGTTCCTGACTTTACTCAAAGATGTAAGCCACCAACACCAACTACAACTTCAGCCTACCACTATCTTCCTGGACTATGAAGTCGCCATCCAAATTAAGCATATTCTGTATTTCCTGTCATCAATGCAAAAGACTACACACAATGCATCTGGAGAAAAGCACAAGAAACAGGGATTCAGGTTCCAAACAAAGAAGACAATAACATTCATCAACTAGTATGCCGTGCCGCTGTCCTTCCACTTGATATGTGGTTTAATGCCGTATACGACAAAGATCAGATTGCTACCAACATCAACTACACGCCCTGTACAGACTATGTAACAACATGGGACCATTACACAACACAGGGACCGAAGACTTCACATCATCAAGAGGGATAGCACAGCATACTGAAGAAACATGTCCAGCGCCCACATCCAAAAATCTTTAAACTCATAAAACTACTGAAACATGAGGAAGCTTTCAACGCCCTGACCATGATCCAGTATGCAGCCGGTGGGAAGAGAGTGGACCAAAAACGAAAGTATGTCGGAATCAACAACAGATTAGAAGACCTTAAGGTTAGACACCGTACAGTTTGGTGATGCAGTTTCCCACCTTCTTCACGTTGAATAGATTAATAAACTTTAATAGACTTATAAACAGTGAATTTCTAATGTGTGTGCTACAATGTGTGATTTGTTTTAGTGCTGTTAACTTGTATTGTTTGTTTCATATCAAAATGCTTGGCAATGCTTGAATCTACTGTTGAATTTGTGTTATAAAAGAAATAAAATAATTTACTTATATTTGTTTCCATTTCTTTCATATTAATTTTAATTAAAAACACAGACTTCATACACATACAAAAATAACCTATTACATATCCCAAAAAAAACCACTTGTCAATTAAAAGTTGATTAAACAAGGTTTATACAGTATAATCCTTTGTTTTCACAAGTTTTCCCCCTATTCCCACATGACATTTTAAGTTTTCTTATCAGATTTAAAAAAAAAAGTGGGAATAAGAGGAATGAACCATTAATTTGTTCGCTCAAACTTACAGTTTGAAACACGATTCGAAAAAGATAATTAAATCTTTTTTTCCTATTTTTTTGGTATTGAAAGTCTATTCACAAATACATTTTTTGCATTTCACAAGATTGCTGTTTTCTGCACTGTTATATACAATATATTTATATGTACGCAGATTAAGTACTTGAGCTTGCATTCAGCACCTGTAACATTTTTCAGTACTGTTGATTTTAGTATTTTCTAACTTGTACTTAAACGTATAATCCCGATATCATACAGTTATGTGCTTTTTCTGTAGTGATTTTTCAAATTTGCGTTTTTCTGTGTACGTACCTTTTGTTATTTTGCTGATCTGGACTATGGATTGAAGGTTGTTTGCCTAACCTGAGGTACCAGATTTGTTGAGATCTATGAAATAAAGACACTCTTGGTTTTTAAGCTCTCCAACTTTAATTTTTTTTTGGTAAGGGCGAGCAACTGAGACATAAAGTACCCCACCCTTTTCATATATTTTGTTTATCAATAATATATACCCTGTATATATCATTTAACAAAAACAGACCTATAAATATATATCCCTATTTTAGAATACTTATGAAACCTGATAAGCATCCGTTTAGCAGAAAAAGACATTTGTCAACAACCTTACAAATTTAGTATTTTAGGAGAACCGGAGCATTAAAAATATTTAATAAAAACAAATAAACAGGGACACAATTTGCCAATCTCTGACTTTAATAAAGAAAAATACTACAACAATGAACATTAAAATGAAAAAAATGTATTTACAAGGAAATACCTTTTTTCATATAATTGAAAAAAGTAAAAAAGAAAAAAAGATAACAGTAAAGTCAAAATTTAGAACAGTTTCTTCATTTGTAAATATTGTTTACATTTGTATTTTACATTTTCCTCAATTTCAATAGACAATACTGATAAAATAGATTTGGTCAGAAAGTATCACCCAAGAGAGTGACATTTGATTTTTTTGATTTAAGTAACACTTTCAGTTTTATATAAATGAAAAACTGATAAAAAGTTACATTGCCGTTCCCTCTTAAAGGACGCTGACACTATGGAAATTCTTTTAATAATTGTTTCATGTATACAAACCTTTGAATGTATATTAGGTGCAAATGTCAAATTAATCAGACTTATAGCATCTTTTACTAGCATCAGTGAAAATACCACATTGGTTTGACAAATAGTTAATGCATTTACGACTGTGGTTTAACCATGTTGACCGCATCAAAAATAAATACTGACATCTGATTAGTTTCAGATACTTATGATATAATCAAACAAGTGACAATATCAACCTAATGATATATTTAATCTGAATTTCACACCCTTTTCATATATCATGGAGCATGAAATAGTGATTATTCCAGCGGCTCACCCCTACCACTCATTACATAGTAAGTGTCCCCCCTTCCCCCCCCCCCCCCCGAGATAAGCATGCAGTATAAGCTACTATGAATGGTCATCGTATCATTTACCAGTGTATGATCTGTAGATTTTGATGCTTAAACGTTGTAATTCATCGTGTTCCAAAATGTTTGTTCCGACACACCTCATGAATTTGTTTTTTTGACAGAAATAGGTATTTTGTGGATGAAAATATACATTTATATTATACAAGATGCTATTGACCTTTACTGGTATCAATCTTAGAAAATCGTTTTAGATTGAAGAATATATCTCCCTCTGATTTCTTCCCAGAGTTTGGCTATACATGTTGGACCTTATTGGTTACAGCAGGTCTTCAAAGTTTGTATTAAGTTTGGTCTTGAGCATCACTGATGAGGTATTTATTGTCGAAAGTAAAAATGTAACCGCTACTGTTATCATCATAAATAAAATAATAGTAGTATTTCAAGTATGGGTGTCTTTATAATCATTGAAAGAAGTTTACAGCATAGTGAATAGTAAAACGCTTCTGTTATGTCCATTCTTTACATACTCTTTGTTTCACATTAGTTGGTAATTTTGTTGCTTTAAACATTTTCGATAATGACCTTTCATGATAAAGCTACATTCAGAAATGTCATCAACCGCCTAAATTTGATTATTTTACTTTGACTTACTAAATAGAACTTTCTCATTCACATATCTAATACTTTTTTGTGCACTTAATATAGCTTGTTAGAAATGTTTCCTTATTCGGTTTTTTTAACTATTGTTATAGTTGAATAATGCGGTTTTATGATCGTATTTTCAGATACTTTAAACATTACAATATTGCATGTTCTAATTCAAACTAGGAAGTCGGGTCAGTTACAGAAAAACTTTCTTAAATTCTGCTTTATCGTTTTTTTTCTGACGTGTATCAAGTGTCTTTGTTTATTGCTATGACAAGCCTAGGGGTAAGTGAATATAAAGGTCTGATAATAACATGTGTACAGTAGTAATCGGGACAAGGAAGAGCAAATGTGTATCCATAACCTTTATCTTAGTCATTATTGCTGCGTATACGTGTTCCGTTAATAAAACATCATTCTGTAGGAATTTGGCTAGTATTACATCAAGACACCAAAAGCAATTATATGTTATGTTCGAACTGTAAAATGTAGTTTTTGAACCACCCCTGTTTTCATTGACAAATCCTTGGTTACATATTTCTTCGCTACCATTTTTATGAAAATTATTTTACAAAGTAAAGGTTTGATGTTGGACATAGATTTTATAATGTTGAGTTGTATCGTGAAAATAACTTTCATATCTTACGGGAAAGAACTAATATTATTCTTTCTATTTAGCGATACTTTGATTTTGTACATCCACTGAGCAGATTTTTCTGTAAATGAATGATAAAAAGAGGGTTATACCTTGCACGACATCGCGTGCACATTCTTCTAATTTTTATTTCGGACTTGTTTTTTTTCGGTTTAAATATTTCTTATATTCGTTCTTTTACTAGTAGTATTGATTCAATTTAAAGTTATGTAAATAAGTTTCAGACCAATTTCAAAGAGCAGAAAACCCTAAGTAATCCATTAACAGTCCGAGGTATTTATATGTTAAAGATTTAAACAGTATTGTACAGAATTTTGTTGTTTTTCAAAATATTATGCCGTTATCTGAATGCCTAATTAATTGCGTAATTGCTACATCTGATGGTTTTATTATTTTTATTCATATTCAATGCGCCTCGATTTCAAACTGTCATATAAAAAATAAGGACCCCAAAATACTTCAACGTTGACCTATTAATAGTATATACATTGTAGTTGCAGATTGAAGACAAAAAGCAAAAAGAAAGTAGAAGCTATATATCTGATAAAGACTTTTCTTTATTAAATAAGTGACATTGTCTGAATACCAATACAAAAGGGCAATATCATATTAAAACAAAAACTTAGTTCTCCGAAAATGTTATTGTGCAGAAAAGTTCGTACTGTTAATGCTATTACTACCACTGAGTTGTTACCTCTGCTGGTGGACTGCTAGTCCCAGAGGGAATCACAAGACCAGTACCCAGTGCTTCGGTAATGGCATGAAAATACGGATAGTAAATTAAGGAATACTAGAACACACCCGCGACATCGCGGGTCCGTGACTGAATTGAAGTATCTAATTATGTATAAGCCTTATTTTTAGCCTGGATTTTTAGTATTGGTATTGTCATATGATAAAGTCATGTTGATTATAAGATGCACGGTTTTCTCTGCTTTCAAAATCTTTCTGTTTGAACCCGTCGACTTGGAACTTGTTATTTGTAATAGTAATTATTTGGAAAACAAAAGGACCTGGAGTGGAGTAATTTGTAATCAACACCATTGTCCTAGATTAGTTATATATAAAGTTGAATTCTTTGATTCGTCGTTTTTACTTCATGCCGGCTAACAAATTGGAAACTGTACCTATGCCTTATATTAAGTCTGGATTTTTAGTATTCGTATTGTCATCTTATAAAGTTAAAACTGATTAAAATACTACAACCGAAAACAATGTGACAATGATTGAAATTAGTAGTGTCAACCCTGTATAATGACGAAGTTTAGGTGTGATTATGACCAGTGTATATAGCAAATCCAAAATACACCGTTTGGTGGTGCGTCTGACAGATGCGGAACGTACAGATTAGGTAATAGGTAATAGGTGACATATACTATTGGTATCGGCTATCGGATTCGACTCGGAACTTGTTAATTATTGGTAATAGTAATTATGTGGAAAACGAAAGGGCCTTGAATGATGTAATTTTTAATCAACACTATTGTCCTATATTAGTTATATATAGTTGACTTCTTTGATTCATCGTTTTTACCCCATGCCGGCTAACAAATTGGACCTCGTTATTTTAGTATTATTTTAGTATTATAGATATCTCCAACATGCAAAAGCTCTGATTCCTTCCCCAGCGTTAGCTATACTATTTGTCCTTAAGCTCTAAGTCTTTTTAATAAGTTTTTAGATTTTCAAATATTTTGGCCTGGAGCATCACTGAAGAGACATTAATGCCGAAATGCGCATCTAGTGCAGAATATTGGTGCCGTTAATGTTATTAAACACTTATAATGAAAATAGCAAACTAAAGCTTTAATTTCATCAAAATAAATAACATAAGCTAGGAAGTGTTGTATCTATATTATCCTTTATTTGTAATTTATTTTTAGCATTATAAATGTCAGAAAGGGGAGAACATTATTGACATTGCCTCGAGAAACCATTATGGAGCACCGGGTATTGATTCCATCGACATTTTCTATCTTGGACTGACATATAACCTGATTAAGTTTGTACACAGAATGCATTCCCATCAATGGTTATTAAGAGACCTCTGTGGATATTCTATTTTTATGGACACAAAAACTTTGACAGTAAGTATTAGTATCAAGCACAAATAGCCGAGCAATGCATTAGAAAGCGGAAGATACCAAAAGGATATTCAAACCCATAAGTCGATGACAAACTGGCAACACCATGGAAAAAAATGAAAAACGACCGACAAACAAGAGTATACAAAACACAACATAGAAAAATAAAGACTGAACATCCCGAAACCCACAAGAAAAGACGGGGTGATCTCAGGTGCTTCTGACGGGTAAGCAGATTGCTCCACATGTGACGCATTTTTCTTCTTTTTGTTTCAGTTTAAGGTATGTTTATTTCTTCATAATAGCAGTCAAGTAAATATTAATTCCGTACATTTTAAATATTCATACCATCGAGGAAAATCGTCAAACTTATATAAGGTGAAGTATAACCAGAACATGTAAATAAAATGAGGCAGGCCACCAAGACAACTCTTTACCAAAGATATCTTAACATTAAACTTAGTTCCAATACTGAGGACTACAAGTGTAAGAGCTGTTTTATTGAATAGAATTTTCATGGTCCAAATTTGAATAATTGTGACATATAATACTTCCAATTTTTAATTAATTAAGGCGACATTGGTTTACAGATGTTCAAATCTCTTAAATTGTACATTAAGAGACAAACCAAGGTAACAAACAATAAAATGTTGACACAGAGATATGTCTCGCCTGTCGGCATAAAATTCAGAAAAAGACAATCTGATGGACTGCAACATTGCTTATTAATTCAGTCGCTGGACCATGATCTAGTGGGCAGGGCCTGAAAATGGTCGACAAGATGAGATGTACAGAAAGTAATGTTACTTTATAGAAAATATCGTTGATATATCACAAGTAGTTCCTATCAATCTAACGTAAGCAGAAAATTTTAACATTATAGCATTTGCTAATTAATTCAAAGTCACTGGACCATGTCCTAGGGGGCAGGGCCTCAAGATAGTCGTCAAACTGATATTCATTTTAGTGTTGTGTTTCTGTTGTGTCGTTGTTCTCTTATATTTGATGTGTTTCCCTCAGTTTTAGTTTGTGACCCGGATTTTTTTTTTCTCAATCGGTTTATAAATTTCGAATAGCGATATACTACTGTTGCCTTTAATTATGTACTGATAGTGATGAAATTTTATAGAAAATATCATTGATATATCACAAGTAGGTTCTATCAAAAGGGCTTCAACTGAAAACTTAACATTACAAATTGCTTATTCATTGAAAGTGGCTCAGTGGACCATGACCTAGGGGGCAGGGCCTCAAAAGAGTCGTCGAACTGATATGTACTGATAGTAATGCAACTTTATAGTAAATATCAATGGTCTATCACAAATTGTTCCTATCAAACTCAATTAAGCAGAAAACTTAACAATTGTTGACGCCGTCGACGTCGTCGCCGGAAAAGCAATTCCTATGTCACGCTTTCCGCTATTCATCGCAGGCGAGACAAAACTGAAGGAATCGCATGAACTCCAAAACCCAATAAGTCTGACATTGACAGGATGATAATACAAGTTTTAGTAATATTTCCCCGGTTTAAACTAGTCCCAGAATATAAAACCTTAAGTTTAAAAAAAACCACATTGGTGTCTCAACGTGGTAACGTTATTTCAGTATGATTTCTTAAAATTGAAACTTGTTTCTAAGGTGCCGAAATAACCATTTATGACACAAGATCTATAATATAAATACGAAATAGCCACCGGATTACAATATTCAATGAAATGTATATTTTTGGAGCAAAACATTGTATATTAAGAGACACTTTGGCATTATTTATGAAAATGTAGATTTTGTTTAGAAATACGTATTTTAAATGATCGTATTTTCAAAGACATTATAAACCATTAACTTATTGTATGTTTCAATTAAGACTAGGAAGTTGTGTCAGTTACATAAAACTTGCTTAAATTCTGCTTTATCATATTGTCTGACAAAAGATCTATATCAAATGGCTTTGTTATACGCTCCAACAGACATATGGAATAGTAAATAAAAAATCTTGACAAAGGATGCCCGATATTTTTTAATATTCAACTTACATAAAGAAAAAACAAATTTCTTGCATCTTTTTTAATTTAAACTTGTTCTGCCTATATTTAATTTCCCCTGGGAATATTTATATTGCAAAGGATTTTCCCCGTGCAAACGACTTTCGTCGCAGGCGAGACCGAAAAGACAAAATGCTGTATAATATCCTTATTTTTTGCATTTTACTTTTTAACATAATTTATAAATGTCAAAAAAATGAATACATTATTGATATTTCCTTGCGGAACCATTATGGAGCACCTGGTATGATTCCATCAATGTTTTCATGTTGCTGTAGCTCTTTTAACTTCCAAGTTCATGTCCAATTCTCAGCACAAGAGTTTGTTATTAAACAATCCAATGTATTATAAAATATATGGAACTTTATATAGATTGAATGAAAATCTAATTGAAGGATATTGAGTGAAAAAATGAAAATGTTTTGTAAGCTCACTTGAATAAATTAACTCTCACATTTTCAGAACTATTCAGGTCTATTCATTTCCCCTTTCAGGTGTGCGTTTTGGCACTTAAACGCTATCTTGCATATTTTGTTTTGTCTTTTTAATAAAATGTTAATGTTTTTTTTGATAACATCCAAACTTTAAGGCAATCAATAAACAATAACAAAAAGTTTATTGGCGTTTGAAAAAATTTACCCGTAGGATTTTAGGTTCATTAAGGTTTTTCCATTCTACAATCAGGTCCATTTTTCCTTTTGTTTTAAATGTGTACTTTCTTTAACAAAATCCAGAGTTGATGAAATTTAAATAGTACGAAACGTTTATTCTCAGGTCTATTCTGGTTTATTTAGGTCCACGTTGTAAACCTTTCTTATGGTCAACTTAATATTATATATATCATACTACACTTTTGGTTTCGAGTCTACATGGCGTATTTATCAATAAAAACGGATACTGAAATCTGTATTTTTTGTTTATATAATAAAAAACATAAATAAAACCAAACAATATGACAAATCAATAGAAATCGTCAACAATGCAGATATTTTAAACGACGACATATCATCCAACATTCCTAAATACTTATATTAAGGTATTATGGAAATATGAATATCTTATCTTACGATAAATAAATTATGCAAACATGTTAGTAATCTGTTCTGGACATTTATATTAGTATATATCAAACAAATTCCATGAACAAATTTAAGGCAACTAAAAAACTTCCATCCCTATAAACTGCCTTTCTTTGAAGTTTCTTATGTTCCTTTTGTCTCTTCTTAAATGTATCTAGCCATTATATGAAGCAAAACCGTCAATAGGTACGTGTTTTGCAAACACAATTTCAATAAAATGACATTTTGATACATTGCAGGTTTTCATGCCAAGAGTTGGTAGATTCAAACGAATAAATTCTTTAGTAAAATTGGATGACTGTTTACTTGATGAATCTTTTCCTGACAGATTCCGTTGGTAAATATACTTTAAATACATAATACCTATGTTAGTATGTACGTAATAACACCACCAACAGCAAATATTTCTAGAATAAAATAGATACTTACAGGCACTCTGATATAAGAATTATTTGGTTATCTTTTTCATTTTTTTTTAATTTTCGCTGGCATTACTTCTCTGTTGAAGACTTTAAATTTTGTTTTGATGTTTTGCTCGACAGGTCACCGATAGAGGTTATACAAAACGGACTATACTCCAAAGAAAGTGACATCTACATGCTTGGAATGACTATTTGGGAAATGTATACAGCGTTAAACTTACACAGGGAGGATCCGTCAGTGAATCTACTGGAGGGAAAGCCTTTTGCTACCATACCAAAGAGTGAGGTTTGTATTACAAGCAAACAAATTTTACAATAATGCAATTCTACATTTTGCTAGTGTTGTCAGCAGTTAACCGGTTAACCGTCGGTAGGACCGAATATCGATTATCAAAATCATTAACTGGTTAATCGGACCTTTTTCAATAATAATAATTTTAAGAGTTTTGTTAAAGATAAAGTTACGATAAACTTTAATGCATCATATTATATAACCATACTCCGTAATATTTTATTGGTTGATGGATTGATCGTTTGCGTAACGTTCAGTGGAGAATATTTCTTGCATGTTAAGGATGAGAACAAATCAACAATTTATTCAATAGGCAGGTCCTGCAATGGGGGTCAACCAGCTTGAATAGTCACAATAATTGGAATACTTCTGGAAAATGAGGGTACATTGGGACAAAAATTAAGCCTGCAGCAGACCACCTACAGACACCCCAAAGGGTTGATGCAAGGGTTATTAACGTGCGAAAGGCTTGTACGGTCTCTTAGAGGCATCGGGTTTAATGTACCCATTCTGACCTGACATGGCTGTGAATTCATTCATCCTACAGTCAAATGGACCACCCACTTTTGCCAGTATTTTTTCTGCAGGTCGGAAGAATACTAAAAGTGACTATTTATTTACCCTAATTACCATTAAGAGTACATTTTCCTAGTGGTTAACCGGTTATATGGTCGAAGGATTATCCGAGTTACGGGTTAGGTATAAATGTTGAATTGACAACACTAGTTTTTTTTCTGACATTTAAAAAAGTTAGAGGAATTAGGTCAATATCCTTAAACAAATATTATACACCTAACATCCACGTATTCCAACATCAATCCGAATTCCGATAGCAAAAAATCTTATTCTGAAGACTCCGTATACATACTATTAGTATTTTATTGTAATTATATTACCAAATAATGATCAGATGATGCTAGTATTACTTGACTTGCAATTGCTTTACATCAATCCAAACTTTGTATAAAAGAGGGACGAACGATACCAGAGGGACAGTCAAACTCATAGATCGAAAACAAACTGACAACGCCATGGTCAAAAATAAAAAGACAAACAGACAAATAATAGTACAGATGACACAACATAGAAAACTAAAGACTAAGCAACACGAACCCCACCGAAAACTGGGGGTGATCTCAGGTGCTCCGGAAGGGTAAGCAGATCCTGCTCCACATGTGGCACCCGTCGTGTTGCTTATGTTATTACAAATCCGGTAAATAGTCTAGTTCGGTAAGTCACATTCGTGAAAAGGGAAGGGTATTGTAGTTACGACATAAGGAACATATCCGATATCATCTGTGAAACGGTTATTCCATAACGGTCAACCAACTCGTGATGGTGTCCGTAAAATTAACGATGGGATGATTTCAACTTCACCATTTGGAACTCTTGGCTTAATAGCTTCCTTGTGAGCAGCAATCCTCTATCTAGGAAATCATGATAGGAAACACAAGCCCGGGAATATCGTATCAATTGGGAGATATATACTCCGTATGCAGGCGCTGCTGGAATGTTGCTACATAGAAATGGAAAGTTCACAATTGGGAAGCTGAAATCATCTCTTTTGTCGTAAAGTTTTGTTTTCAACCGACCCTCATTGTCAATTTCTAGATGTAGGTCAAGATATGAGGCAGACTTAACTGTATCTGAGGTATCCTTTATCTCTAGTTCGATGGGATAGATTCGTTCAACATAGTCACCAAATTTTGTATTATTTAGTGAGAGAACATCATCTATATAGCGGAACGTAGAGTTAAAGGATATTGCTAACTTCTTATTTTTCTTCCTAAGAAAAAAAAATAAAAGTGACACCTAACACCCACGTATTCCAACATCAATCCGAATTCCGATAGCAAAAACTCTTATTCGGAAGACTCCGTATACAAACTATTAGTATTTTATTGTAGTTAAATTACAAAATAATGATCACATGATGCTAGTATTACTAGACTTGCAATTGCTTTACATCAATCCAATGAAAATTAAAATGGAACCCAACATCACATATTCCAACATCCTTATGTAATTCATACCAAACATTACTCCACCTGATTAAGGAATAAAAATACTTCATTCCTGGTGATATTTTACTGATATATTCTAGAAAATCACTAGAACTGACTGGATAAATTTATATAATTGCTTGCATCAATCATACACTAATTTAGTGTTTCGGCGGCATTTTTATAGATTCTAAAATGGGTTTTAGATATAGGCCCGCCATCATCAGGGATTGTCCTATATTTCCTTATTTCGAATTTTAGTTGATGTTAGCAGATCTGCTAAATTTTTGTGCCTTTTATATGCTATAATAGGTTTTTCTGTGAATATCTTGTTGCAAATCACATCTTTTTGTATTATGTGCCAATGTTTGATGATATATTTTCCCAGTTTACTTATGCAAGGGTTGTATTTGGTAGATAAAACTAAAGGAATTTCCTTTTTATGTTTTTTGTTCTTGCCTCACATGAAACTGACTTAATAATATCCTCCGTTATTGTAATATCGATAGCTGCACTTCGAAGTACATACCATACATATCACAATCTGATAAAATTACAGAGCATGTGTCCAAGCTTTGCAAACTGTAGACACACGATCTGTATTTCAATCAAATTGGAATTAATGTAAAATTAATAAAGCAAGCAACAAATCAGTCTTGTCCAATTAGTGCTCAGTTTAAAGCTGTCGATTTTCCTTTAAAATACATTCTTTTGCTTCAGTTGTTAACAGAGCTCTACAGTGGTGAAGTACCAGACATGCCCATCAGTTGTCCGCTATGGTTGTATGAAATGTTAAAATCTTGTTGGAATCGAAATAGAACATTCAGACCCTGCGCTGACCAATTGTTATCAGAGATGAAAGACAGGTGAGGAACTTCTGTTTATTTTAAGCTTTCATACAACTCTTCTTGAACTTTAATTTTGAATGATCTTAAGTTTGCATTTTTTTTTTCATTTCGTTTTGGCCAAAAACACATACTATTATATAGTTATAGTATTAGTTGAAAAATGTAAAAAAAAAACATTTGACAAAATTGTTCAGAATTTTACTAGCAAACAAGAAATGTGAAGATTCACGATTGTTATGAACGCTCCATATATTCTGTATATGTCTATTTGGTTATCTGGATGCTTTAATTATAGTATACAAACAATTTTCTTTCATTCACATTTGATTTTGTTTGTTCTCTTGTATTCTACACATATTTTGTTGGTCTTAGATTAGCAATGACAAATAACCATATATTTTACTCCTTAATTGTCAGTTAATTTTGGATCAATGTGAAGTGTTTGAAGTAACATTAGATAAGTTGATGAAGGTTGTTAAATTCTGTACAAAACTGTAAGTATGAAATTTTCTGTTATCTCGGTTCTCAAAAAATACACTAGTTCTCGCATATATTATTGAAAGAAATTTTTTTTTCCAAATTAGAACAGATTTTTTATTGGTTGATTAACATCTTCGTCCTCCCATATTTTAATGACTGCTTTCCTTTTTTAGAATCCAAAGTCATCCTAAAAAAGAAATGATTATACAAATGGTTGATTTGAGACGACTACCAACCTTGTTACAAGACACAAGAAAACTACCAAAGGTTCCTTCCAATTCTTCAGACATCTCATTTACTAAAATGTCAAAAGCGTGCTTGGATGATGATGACGATCCTTACCTACTGACAGTACATTCAGAATCAAGATCTAATTCACTTCATGTGAATAGGAGAGTACAAAATACAAAGGTCCCTCTGTTATCGCCAGTGAGTAAAGGAAGAAAAGATCAAAAGAACTCGTCTGATCAACAAGATGATTACCCAAAGCTTAGACATGAACGTGGACGTAAATATGGCAGCTATGAACCATCTGGTTACTATTTCAATGAATCAGATTCCTCATTTTTGAATATTTCACAATCTGAAACTCCAAAATCACATGAAACTATTTGTGATGACAATTTTCAAAGTATTATACAAGATACCAGTCGCGAGACATATGAACACAGACATAACCGTACCATAGGACAAACTTGTGAAAGAAAGCTCTCTAGAATTGATAGTGGAATCGTTGATGATGACTCAAATCAGCAGTTAAAAAGTCTTCGTTTGAACTTCAATACAGATTCTTCAATTTCTGAACTAATAAAGAGTGTCTTAACAGATCCATCATCAGGATATTCTTCAATGTCCAAGCTGAAGGTAGAGAGTGAGGATAACAAATCTCCTCCAATCCCTCCAATTCCAGTGGGAAAATCAGGGAAAATCCCAGCTATCCCATCGTCGAAAAAACCTATTACGATTAAAGAAATTAAGACATCAGAACAGATGAATGACTATGTTTCCATGTCATCAGTTTGCAGACAACGACCAAAGACAGATATATCTGAGAGTTGTGGACCTAGTGTTAATACTTTACAAAAAAGACATTTGCCCTTGGAAGACACTTCAATTAGAAGTAAAGATGACATGGATACTGATGAGTTTAGTCATAGTTTAATTAGGTTTAGTAGCTGTAATCTGTTAAAGTTTGAACGAGAACTGTCAAATGCAAGATCTAGCTATGTTTAAGAATTTCATGAAAGAAGAGGTATAAATAAGATAAATAACACTTACAACTTAATTTCTAATTTTGAATGTGTTATTATGTTGAATTAAATATTTGTTTTTGAGCAGGAATTAATCAAAGTCTAATTAGGTAAAAATAGAAAAGCTACTCTGAATTTCTGGTCAACTACAGCAAATCATACATTTACTGAATTGACGAGTTAATCTTTTTTCCTATTGAAGTTTTGTTCAAGTTTAAAAAAATAATACTCAATTCTTTTAAATCAATAATTTAATAGCCTTGTATTTTAAAGTATTTTTACACTCAAAAGCAATGCAACATAAAAAAATTATTTTTATAATATACATTTGTTCAGAAATTTTGATGAACAAAAGCAAGGCATTTATTAAATAGGTAACCCAATTTTCAAATTTAGACATTTAAAAAAAATTTGTTACAAAAGTTCCAATAGTTTCAAAATGGAATGCATCAAATTAAAAATATATGATTCATTTTCTAAATAATAAATATAAAAGAAGATGTGGTGTATATCAATGATCAATTATCCTAAAGACAGCTAAAAAGTTTGATAATCTAAGCAAAATAATCAGTTACAATGGTTCTTTGCATTAAATTTTCTGAATTGGAAATTTTTATAGGATTTGCTACAACTTTAAAAACTTGTACTTATAATATAATCATTATTTGTATAACCATATTAAGCAGACAACAACTAAACACTGTGTTCATGGCATAGAGTCACAAAACATAAACCATTAAAAATTCCATTGTCAAACTGTCTTGAAACATGTATATACAAACTGTTTATAAAAAAATCATATTTTCAATAATATTTTGTTTGACTGTTAACCTAATGAGCATTTACACTATTTTTTTGTTATTCAACAATAAACATGACATATTTGTTATGTGTTTTTAGTGCAGCAGCTAATTTGTTATGAGATCAAATTTGTGTTAACAAATATCTCTCCATGAGATTAACCTCTTGATTTAACACTAATACTAGCTGCGCCATGAGCGCATGATACACCAGTTGCTTTTTCAACGAATAAAGTTCCATAACTCCTCAAGGTCATATCAGAAATTTATAAAAAAAAACTAAAGGGAGGTTATTTTAATAGACATAAACCAGTCACCAAAGTTTCATGAAACTGCTTAAAGCATGTTCTGAGTTATTGTCTGAAAACTGGAAAATCCCCCCTTTTTTATGAACAAAATCCCATAACTCAGAAATGTAAAGTCTAAAATTTATAAAAATCAAAAGGGAGCTTGAGTCAATAGATATAGACAATTCACCAAAGTTTCATGAAAACTCCTCAAAGCATTTTTGAGTTATTGTCCAAAACTGGAAAATCCACCTTTTTTAATGAATAAAACCCCAGAGCTCAGAAACGTAAAATCTAAAATTGTAAAAATCGAAAGGGAGCATATGTCAATAGATATAAACAATTCACCAAAGTTTCATGCAAATTGGTAAAAGTGTTTTTGAGTTATTGTCAAACATGTTGACGACAGACGGACGGACAGACAGACAGAGGTATACCATAATACGTCTATAAAAATTAAGACTTCACAACAAAGAGAAATTCAGTCTGAAGCATATTCACTAATACAACAAAGCACAATATGTTTATGTCTGTTATGCCTCATTAAAGTGTTTTTCAAATTAAAAAAAAGATTTGATAAAACATTTGTTTGCAATCATGATTAAAAATGTATTTCATCTTAAATATTTCCAATTTCACAGTCAGCATTATATGAATCATCAGTCCATATTTGATAATTGATAATCCCAACTTGAAAGTGTAACTAGATAAATATTCCAAAACTTAATGGATTGGGTTGTATTTTTAGACAACAGCTGTAAGAAACATTGAAATGAAAAAGGATACATTGTGGGTTGATGGGTTACTTTGGATCCAACACTTGACCAAGAGAATATACATGTACCCCTGAATTAAAGGAGATGTCCAAAATACCTCAATGAATGAAATACATAAAAATAAAGTCATAAAAAGGGATGTAAATGAGTAAATTGTGATTCAACAAGTGTTATTCCAAGCACATGCAAATGACCAGGGGTGTCTTAGTTGAATGAACTGTTTAACCATGATCATCAACAAATAGCTTTATTTTATGTGCAAGACACTTTTAGTAGAGGTTGAATAATCGATCCAAGTTTTATTCCTGGACTCCAAGGAGTTTAAAAGTAAGAGAGTGGTGATAATTTTTGAACATATGTAAAAGGAATACATATGGTATATGTCATTGCCAAAGCAACCCATTGCATGAAAAACAACAATTTAAGACATGTGGTAAACACACAGTTAATAACAGACATATGCCTTTACTATATGTCAAGGTCTTAATCTGCTGGAGTCTAGACAATTAGTGAATAATTATAGCACAGATTATCAGAGATCTGTGATCAACACAAAATTCTTTTAAGGATAAAATTGTAATTTGTTAATGACTTAGTCAATTAGTGGAAAAATTAATTTGAGTCTCCAATTCATTATATGTTGAATGGCGACTTTTTTATGGACTTTCATAGATATCTATGTTTCCATCCAGAATTTCATTCAAATCTGAAATATTGTTGCTTAATTCCTAAAAAAATTCAGTGATGCTTAAAATTTGAGTCAAGATAAACTTTTTTCTTTTCCATTATTCAAAAATGACTTATAGAAAATTTCTTGCATCAAAACATTTAGGCAATGATCTAAACTCGACAAGGTAAAACATTTATGTGCAAAGTTGGTTTTTGTATAGACATTCAATCTATCAAAGATGTAGATCTTTCTACCTTTACAAAAAAAATTCTGATGCTGTGGATCTGACATTAAACCAAAAACTATGAAAAAATTGATCTAACATGCCAAATTTTCTCTACATTTCTACTTTGAAAAGGGATATAAACCACTGACCAACCCTATTGTCAGAACTACTCATCAAAGATAATTCATGATAATTCTATTTTCAAGAGTTTTAAAAGTAAGTTTACACTTCATAGTATTTATTTATTTTAGTTCCATAACAATTTAATTTCCTGTCCTCAAAGGTTGGAAGGCAAGCATATTAAAAATATTTCAGGTTTTAAAGTTTTGCTATGGAAGTTTTGAAGACCTATCAATCTCATAGTCAGTTTTTCAAACATTCAGTGAGAAAGCCTAATCAAATAGCTGATTCAAAATCAATCTATTTGACTAATGAGTTATCCTTGGTACTTTGTGATATTTTTTGGTAGAAACGTTACAACTCTTTAAGAAAACTTGCCTGACCACACCAAAACTGAAATGTCAAGCTGACAGGTTTTTTTACAAACAAATTATAACATGTACAATATTTTATACTTTTTTGATACACAATATACAATATGTTTACACTTTCTAGATTAACAATACAAGCATGTACAATAATTACACATAAAAAAATCAACTATATCATTGTCAAATTTCTCAAAAGACAATATATATATATATCACTATGCTTATAGATATACCATGTTTGTTACACAATTATGTCCTAGTTCTGGTTCTTGGTTTTGACCTTGACCTTGTATTCTTGGCAGGTGTATTTTCATTCTGTTCCGCATGAGACTGGTTAACTTGACTAACATTATGTTGCATGGCAGTTTTATCTGCGAGTTTAATATGATTTTTTCCAAGGGTATGTACTGATCGTAAATACTTTGGATATGGCATTGTGACAAGTCCACATTCTGCCAAGTTTCTGATACCGTCTATTACTGATGGTCCTTCAAATTTAACTCGACATCGGAAAGGCTGCATGTCGTCAACTGGTATGGAAGGTATAGCACTGGTTCCTCGGAACTTCACAGCGACCTAAGAGGAGAAAATACAGCATATTGTAATTGACTCAATCTGATTAAAACTAATTCCATTTGCACCTGTAATCTGACAATTGCATAGATATCTGGCAAATCCCCTGCCACAATTATTTAGGAGACCTGTTAAGCTGAAATAAGACTGACCAATTAACTGATCTTGTCCAATGAACCATGCCATTTCTTACATAATTCTCACATTTCAGACTGGCATAAATGCTGTTTTAATATAGAATTGAATGCTTCTTTTAATTTAAAAGGCGGAAGCACTTCTTGCCTTTAATATGCAAAGAATAAACACTTTTAAATCCCTAAGAAACAAGTGAAACTGCGAGCTACTGCTCATTGATGATACCCCCTCCCAAATACTTGACGGTAAACAGGAAGTTGTTGAATGATGAATCTGAAAACGCATCACACAGTATAGCTGACTTATATAAACCCTGAAACCAAATTTCAGAAATCCTTATGATGTATTTCCTGAGAAAGATGCGACGAAAAATATTCATGGGACGAATGGACGGATGGATGGACAGTATACCCCCACTTTTTTAAAGCGGTGGTATAATTACAAAAAGAAGAATTCAATTCTAATAATTACATTAATATGCTTCAGCTATGAAATAACTAGTTTTATCATATATTTAGTGGTAAATACAGTAGTTTTGAATATTTGATAAATAGCCTGCTGCTCAACTTTTTATGCACACCCTTTATCACACCACTTTATCGCATGTCTACCCTTTATCACACCACTTTATCGCATGTCTACCCTTTATCACACCCCTACTCGGATTTCTCGTTCGTATTCTATATAGAGTCTCTTGGACAGTTTTGGATCAGCAGACGACATTGTTAAACTTTAAATTTTGATATTTCAAAAGTGCACATTTTACTCACCAGTCTCAAAGTAGTCTCTTCTTTATTACAGTATACTTGTTATTAAATTGTTGGTTTATTGTTACTATTTTTTTTATTAACAGTATTAACAGGTTTTATTCAGAATGTGTTTTATATAGTACAACATTACTAAAGGAGAATAAAAAGAACTCAATGAAATACCATACAAAACACAAACAAACAACAAAAAAATACAATCAACAAAATATTTCTATGGACAACAGGACCCAAATTGTAAGGTAACCCGGGTGCTTCGGATGAATAAGCAGTTTCTATATATGATAAAGCTTATAAAACATGGCAAAAATAAATCTGAAGGTAATCCAGGTGCTTTGGATCAGTAAGCAGTTCCTATATACTCTCCTGTTTCAATATATGATAAAGCGTATAATACATGGCAAAATCCGTATCACATGCCGTATCACCCTCGACCAATATCATCTCTCAGGCCTAAAGGCCCTCTGGCTGATATTGGTATCTCAGAATGATACGGCATGTGATACGGATTTTGCCATGTTTTATTCTCTATTTATATATCAAACTCTTTCTTTTGTTTTCCAATGCATTGTTATGACAAGGTGACATTGGAAGAACGTGGAGTCATGAATATTGAATCTTATTGAAAAATAAAATACAATTTTGGAATGCCTCACAAACATTTTCAGGCAATCAAAAGTATGGATTCTAATGAAGCTAACAGTAATGTAAATATTGAAATTATGAATAAGAGGTCTAGAGGTTGGGTGTACATATATGTGAATGATACAGCAACCCAACAACACAAATAGTGGAAAAGGAAAATGCCCAAAGAAATTCCACAGTTGGTATGAATGATTCAGTATATTGCCTTTCTTATAGCCCAGACAAGACGACTGCATCAAAAATTATGTTAAACTAAGTAAATAAATGTCCTCTTACTGTTAGTCTTAAAAAGGTTTCACTAGATCAGAATTAATAGTAAATGGGAACAAATGTAGATCCAGTTATAAGCTGTTGACACAGAGATATGTCTTGCCTTTTTGTAATTTGATAGTATAATGGCAATATTTAAACATGTAAACTATGCAAAACATTCAAAGTTGATGAACCATTACTTGTTGTGCAGGACCAAATAACCCAATTAAAATGAGAAATGCCAATGCTAATATAAACTGTTGACATATAGATATGATGGACAGCAACATTGCTAATTAATTCAAAGTTGCTGGACCAACTAGTGGGTAGGGCCTTGAAATGGTTGACAAACTGAGATGTACAAACAGCGATGTAACTTTAAAGAAAATATTTTCTATAGTAAGTAGTTCCTATCAAACTTAATCATAAAACTTAACATTGAAAATTGTTACCGTAGAAAGGCTTGTATAGTCCGCGGTTTTATTCTCCAAAATTGGACCTTCCAGACGGGGTGCAGACTATAGAGTACAATAAGCAAGAAATAAGAGAAAATTTTTAATTTCGCGGGCAATGTGGTTTGTTTACGTTCCGCCATCTTTGTTATTTATATTGTAGAGGGCGCTCAAACTAATAATTTTAACTCATCCATATTAATAAGTTATTTCTATTCAATATCAAATTAGTACTGATAAATATAAAAACTAAACCTTTCATTACATATTTCTCGTTTCTTTTCAATGCATTGGTTGAAATAAACTGGTATCTGCTTGATTGAAACGATACAAACATAGTGAAAAAGACAACCGTAAACCAGCTTAGAATTTGTAAACTACAAAACGTAATCGGTTATCGTTCGTTCCGTTTTGGTGTTTCATACTGACTAATATGGTTTGTATTAGCTTAAGACCCTTCAAACATTAATGTGATAGATATATTAAAGACTGTTTTACAAAAGGATGGAACTGTTTTACTTTCAAAGTCGTATTATAGTGATATCTGTTATGTACGGATTTCGACTCTCACCGGTTCATTTCTTCTTTTATACGTGCTTTTTAAACTTCCTGTTTAAACATACACAAGTTTCTAAATTGTTTTTTAAGTGAATTAAACTTATTTTAACAATCATGAAGCGTTCTAGAATCATTTACAAGCAGTTTCAGCTTCTGTTTGATGATGGAAAACAGGTTTTTCCAAGAAAATACCGCAAACGACCGCACAGGATTTGAAATTACTGGAGTTTCATTAGACCTTTTCTAACAGTTACAAAAAGTTTTTTTACCTAAAATTTCGTGGGGAGAAGGGGGTGCGGACTATGTACCAGTGCGAACTATACAAGCCTTTCTACGGTAATTGATTGAAAGTCACTGGACCATGATCTAGGGGGAAGGGCCTTAAGATAGTCGTCAAATTGATATGTACTGATAGTAATGCAACTTTATAGAATATATCATTGATCTATCGCAAGTAGTTCCTATCAAACTAACTTAAGCAGAAAACTTAACAATTGTTGACGCCGTCATCGCAGCCTAAGGCTGGAAAGCAATCCCTATGTCTCGCTTTCAGCAAATTTCTTCGCAGGCGAGACAAAAACTGCATACCAAATACCATTGACTTATATATAATTATCATAAGTGGTTCCCTATAAAACAACCTAGACACAAACTTTGATTAGTAAACAATGTAAAAGTTTCAAAGTTAATGCAACCATGCTGAGGCAGTGGGGCCATATAATCACCATGGAAAAGATACTTGCAAATGATTATACAACTGCATACCAAATATCATTGACTTAACATTAGCTGTTCCTCTTAAATGGATCCAATTACAAACTTTACATGTAAACTGCAAAACGTTTAAGGTCAATAGACCATGACTGAGGGGACGGAGCCAAATAATTTTCCATGGAAATGAGATGTGCCAATGCTAATACATCTACATTCCAAATATCATTGACCTACCACTAGTGGTTCCCCATAAATTGACCTAATCACAAACTAATACATTGTTGACACCGCCGCCAACGCCCACAATGATATATGAAGAAATGTTTTGGTAAAGGAACCCCAAAAATCACTCAAGTTTAAAAAATTAAATAGCAGGTGCATATTATTATCTCCTGTAGAAGAATCTGTGCAAGTCTGGTTTACTTCTGACTGGCTGGTTTGGAGTTGTGGATTAAAAAATAGAGTGACTACTATATTCTGTCTTCTTGTTAGCAATTTAGAATTTCAAAATTTGTAGATGCACTTGTCCATTTGATCACATACAACAGTACAATCTTGTTGTTTTTTAAAAGTGGCTTCATTGTTTAACACTGACCTTAAATTCTAGTTTTTGAAGAAGTGGTTGTTCATTTGGTCCAAAGCATTCATCAAGTTCTTCTGTTCTTTGTCTTTTATGTCTTTCATCTTCACAATGTAAATTAGGTTCTCTCTCAAATTCTGAAACTAAAGAGATATAGCAGTTGGGAATTATTTCAGAACTACACCTACTACAAAAATGTATTGGGTTACAGGTGGTTATACTTTATATACTTTGAGTTGACCAATTTAACCGAGTTAACTGAGTTAATTCTATCACCAGTTTCAGATTAATGGTTAGTATTGATATCTTTTAGCAATCACAATGCAAACAAATGGTGCAATTGTACAAAAAAAGAAAGAAGGTGTACAATCTGGACAAAGGAAGGTCAGGTTAAAATGGGTAATGAAAACAGATGTTAAAATCAGTTTACAAATTATGCAAAAAATAAAATATGATAACTAATGCCAGGAAAAATAGTTTCTATAACAAAAATAATCAGTAAGAGTAGACATTAACAGGAGCTGCATGGTTTAATTTACTATGATTTGATGCATTGGGATACTTTATTGTCAGTAGATAAGATGTTGAATACTGTTAAATTTTAGAGAGAAACAAATGAAGCTAAATAAAATTCAATATATATTTTTCATGCATACATGACTGGAGAATTTGTATTTGTAGTTTTCCATTATAACCATTCTAAGCATTTATCATTGTGATATATCTATGGAATTGGATAAAATTCAAAATATTTTTCAACAGTTGCACTTATACTATTATATTTGGATATGGAGGGTAACAGAAGATTTAGTTGCATAGTATGTACAAGTGACCTGACTTAATATTGTGTATTAAATTCCATTCACATAGGTCATTTATCTTTTGACCATGGTGTTGTCTGCTTATCTTCAACTTTGACGTTTTTTGAAATCTCACTCCCCCCTTTTTATCTTCTATCATCTTCAATTTAAGGAAGGTTAATCAGAAGTTTTTGATCAGAACTACTTGAGTTATATCATTTACTAATTAAAATCTGTTGGGATTTACCACTTCAAATAGCGATAACCTTAAAAATATCATAGTGAGAAATGTTATTACAGGTTAGGTAGTATATTGGGAAAACTGTCCACTTTTACTGTATATACGATCTAAGATGTTTTTTTTTGCATTTAAGGAACAAAAGTTGTTTCAGAAAAAAACAACATATTTTTAAAAATTTTTAACAGTATTATTGTAAGGATGCCTCCAATCAGACAATCTGAATGTTGGAATTTGTGTATGAGTTTCTAAAAAGGTTATCCGTGGTGCTTAATTACATCAACTATTATGAGAAAATTGATTAGGACCAGTCAAATGAGACTATTCGTGGAATCCCTACCCAAACTTTTGACTGAATTCTTGGTTTTATTCAATTTCAATATGAAATGTCTTTCAATGTTCTTTTACTTTTTTTTTTTAAATTTACATACACATGTCCTTTCAACTGTCAAAGTAGCATGCCATTTGAAATCTTGGAGAAACATTGGTCAGTATTATGAAAGTATATCAGATGAGTGAAGCAGGTTCTATGAATCCTTAACTGTATAATGCTGTAAAATGGGAGCTATATATAATTGGGATTTGTTTTAGTAAACTAACACTTTACAGAAGTTGAGTTCTTTACTAAGAAATAATACTTAATAAGGATAACATAAATCATCAAAGATATTGGACAATACCAACAACAAACAATCTACTCTGCTGAAAAATAGACATACAAACAAGACAACCAACAAACAATCTACTCTGCTGAAAAAAATAGACATACAAAGACAACCAACAAACTAAAAATATTCTAAATAGCCTTAAAGAATTTTTCATATTTGATGAGTGCAGGAAAATTCATGTCCCATTAGGTTGGATATAACTTTAATCTATTGAAACCCTGTTTTGAGGTGTTTGACAAAGGGACAAAAGGGATATATACAGCTAAAAGTACAGATAACATTATAGGACAAGAGGATTAATTCAAACATTCATACTTTTGAGTCTAGACCCATTATTTCTGTGTCAATCATTGTTGACCTACTTCTCTTCTCCATACATACCTTTTCTTTTCTGTGGTGACTTTTGCAGAAGAGGTAAATTTTGTACCTGTTGTAATCTGTATCTACTAAAATCTCCCTAAAATATAGAAATGGTAGATTTTTATTAAATTCTTATTAAAGGTTTATATCATCAATGTCTCTGAATAGTTTGAAAATCAGTGCCAATCAATTATTTTCTAAGGGAGTAAATGCCCATCGAAAGTGTAAGCTCTATGTCATAGGAACATATAGAGATATTTGCGTTACACTCAGTCACCAATTTTAACTATGAAAAATCAACTTCAAGAGAGAATTATATATGAATCCCTTTTTGTGAACTGTAAATTCCAGTTTTTTAAATTCATTGCATTGTGAAATTCTAGCATAGCAAAAGTTTTGAATTTGTTACAAGTATCTCCTACGGTATCAACACCTGTTTGACCTCGGCTTGTGGCTTTGTAGTAACTATACTAATTAAACCTGGATAGTTTAAATGTAATGTTTGAATCCTGAATCTGACATCCTATTGTCTAATATAAAATTATTAATGATTGACATTTGAATCATCTGAATGTTGGAACATGGTTTTGACATTCCTTCTGAACTAACATGCAGTAGCTTTTATCTGTTTAGAACTGTAACTTGGATGTAACAGCTTTATGTAACTTTAGAAAAAAAAAATTAAAATTCTATGTTTGTCCTGTTTTCATTTCAATTTCAGTTTCACTTTTTGTATTGTGAAATATCCTTATATGAGTAAATTTTGTGCTGTGTAATTTTTGTGACTGAAATTCACTGAATCATAATAGATTTATATCAGAGAAGTGTTTAATCACATCTCATTTTCTCGTGTTGGGAGTACAAATGAATTTAGTTTTAGTTCGATAAATCTGTTTTTCTTAAATTTAAAAACGTTTGTTGCTCTTGGTGTGTGGATCCAGAAGAATGTGTCCCCATGGTGTATCCCCATATATATTAGTTATGGGGCTTTTGTTTGGAAGAGAGGTGCCTTATTGCTTATAGATATAAATAAGAAGATGTCGTATGAGTGCCAATGAGACAACTATGCATCCAAGTCACAATGTGTAAAAAGTAAACAATTATAGGTCAAGGTACGGCCTTCAACAAGGAGCCTTGGCTCACACCGAACAGCAAGCTATAAAGGGCACCAAAAAGACTAGTGTAAAACAATTCAAACAGGAAAACCAACGGTCTCATCTATATAAAAAACGAGAAACACTTATGAACCACACCAACAAACGACAACCACTGAACAACAGACTCCTGACTTGGGACAGGTGCATAAAAATGCAGCGGGTTTAAATGTTTTAACAGGCGCCAACCTTCAACCTAACCTGAAACAGTGGTATAACATTACAACATAAAAAGACACACAATAAAATATCAGTTGAAATGGCTTAACTCGATCAAAAGACAATACACAATAAACTGTTAACACAGAGATATGTCTCGCCTATTTGTTATTTTGACAATGCAAATGTTGAAATTAAAATAGCAATACTTTAACATATAAGTTATGCAAATATTCACAGTCAATAAACCATGACTGAAGGTACAGGGCTAAACAATCTCCATGGAAATGAGATGTGCCAATGCTTATACAACTGCAAACCAAATACCATTGGCTTTTCATAAGTCGTTCCCTTTAAACAAACCTAAACACAAACATTAACTTGTAAACTATGTAAAAGTTTCAAAGTCAATGAACCATAATAAGGGGGTGGTTTTATATAATCTCCATGGAAATGAAACTCATACCCAATATCATTGACTTTACATTAGTGGTTCATCTTAAACTGACCTACGGGTAATCTCAAACTAATACATGAAAACTAAGCAAAAGTTTCAAAGTCAATAGACCATGAATGAGGGGGGGGGGGGGGGGGGGGGCAAATAATCTCCATGGAAATGAGATATGCCAATGCTAATACAACTGTATACCAAATATCATTGACCTATCACTAGTGGTTCCCCATAAACTGACCTAATCACAAACTTATACATGAAAACTAAGCAAAAGTTTCAAAGTCAATAGACCATGAATGAGGGGGTGGGGCCAAATAATCTCCATGGAAATGAGATATGCCAATGCTTATACAACTGCATACCAAATATCATTGACCTTTCACTAGTGGTTCCCAATAAACTGACCTAATCACAAACTAATACGTGTAAACTAAGCAAAGTTTCAAAGTCAATAGACATTGATTGAGGGGGCGGGGCCAAATAATCTCCATAGTAATGAGATGTGCCAATGCTAATACAACTGCATACCAAATATCATTGACCTACCACTAGTGGTTCCCCATAAACTGACCTAATCACAAACTAATACATGTAAACTAAGCAAAGTTTCAAAGTCAACAGACCTTTACTGAGGGGGCGGGGCCAAATAATCTCCATGGTAATGAGATGTGCCAATGCTAATACAACTGCATACCAAATATCATTGACCTACCACTAGTGGTTCACCATGAACTAGACATAATCACAAACTAATACATTGTTGACGCCGCCGTCGCCGCAAACAGCATACCTATGTCTCGCTTTTTGACTCTGTCAAGGCGAAACAAAAACAAGTAAATATACATTAAACGAATAAGTTTGATCTATGACACAATATAAATAAAAAAGAAGAAATAAAAATAAAAAAAGAGCCCATAAATTTAGATACGATCCATGGAAAAATTTATCTTTCCTTTAAATAAACTTATTCTAAAAGATTATCAATTTAGCACTGTAATAAAATCTTTGAGTATTGTTTTTATCTTACTAACATTTATTTTGTTACCAATTAACAGTCAGGGAACTTATTGAAATAAGTGATTTTCAAATCACTTATTTAAGTAGCAAATTCGAAGTTTTGTTACCAATTGTTATTTTGTAGTTTTAAAAAAATTTAAAGCACATAGGTTTAGATAATATCTTTTCATTAGTAAAATTGAAAAAAAATGAACTTTTAACTTCTTTTAAGCAGCAAGGTTTATGCCTTTGATGCAATCATTTAGCTGCAAATTCTATTTTAGTTGAAAAAATGCTATAAAAATGTCTTTACATAATGAACTGATACTTTCTTAGCAGATTTTTCCAGCAGTGGGAGTATTTTTCCTGTAAAATTCAAGGTTTCATCTTATAGATTATGTAATAAAATTCTACTGTTTGCGATCAAAATTTCACTGTTCGGGGGGTGTTGAAATTAGTGGGGGTTATTTAAATAATGATACTTAAAGAAGTGATTTTTTGGAAGGAAATTGAGGTATGATACTTAAACAAGTGATTTTTATGTCATTATCCTAGATTTAGTACAAGGTCATCACCTGACATGACCCGGTCATCCTATCAACACAGATGTTGGTTCTGATAATTTTAGCAACATAATTAGTCCCTGGATCATTAGTATTCTATATTTAAAGCTACAATAAAATTAAATCACTTAGTCTAGTGATTAATTTGTACTACTTAAATAGGTGATTATTAAAGAAAGACAACTCTTACTTCCAACCTTTATGGACATAATGTTACTTGAATCAGTGATTTAGAAAATCACTCATTTAAGTAAGTCCCCTGACTGATTAATAAAAACAAAACTAAATATTATTGGTAAACAGAAATAAACATTACAATCCAACATTCTGTTAATACTTATATTTTGGCAATGTACAACATCATGTTTTCCCTGACTGTTTATAATGCCTTTGCACAAAATCCATTGGATGTGTACTGATTGATCATTTGGTCATGAATACATGATTGTTTTATTAGTTGCTATAGACTATGAACTAGCTTTCAGTAACTGCAAACACTCTCAAATCGGTACTTTTTGTTAATTTTTTTTTTTGTGTGTGTTTTATGTAGATCTGAGGAGTCGAGCCCCAAAACATGTCTAACCCAGCTGCATTCTGTATCAGTGATCTCCCCAGGCCGTTTTAGCGTCGCGCCCCCGCGATGCTATAATTTTTTACCGTGACGCTATAATAATTTCCGCGACGCTATAATTATTTTGAGGACACTATTCTTTTCTTGTCTGCTCTATACATTGCCGCAATATTGATGTCCTAAATTTTGAACTTTCATCGAATTGCCGCTTGTGATCATAAAAATTATATCACCTTTAATTGTAATCCCTTCAAATCGGACATAAGAGGCAATTAAGATTGATTAAATAGGTGTTAATTGCCCTTCGGCTGATAACTGTTTGGATACGAATACCCCAAGCTGACACTTATGACATGACTGATAACACGTGGCAAAATTTTGACATCGAGAAAATCATAAACAATTCAAAAATCTACGTTTGAATCAAGGCAAATTCGTCTCCTAAGAGAAGAAAAAAACAAAACAAAAAAACGAGCGAACTTAACAGGCTGGTCGTTTGTTATTTCAAACTAACAACTTGTAAAGAAGTGTTTTCTTTCCATTCCGGTCCTCGAGAGCGTACACAAAACATTTCGATTCTGGGCAAAATAAGTTCTATACTTCATTAGAACGTGATGAAAATTGCCTTTGGTAATGTTTCATCTATTTATTACAGTAAAATCGTGATATATTCATCCAATTCGCTTCTCAAACATTGTTTATTTTCGTAAATTTTTCTTCGACCGCCATTGATATATTTGTACTAATTACGGATCGGAAGCGGACCAGCTATGATCAAAATCCGCATTTTTACGGTAATAACTACAGACGCAGAAATGGCACAGCTGACAGAATAATAATGATCCCAAAAGGGAAAGCTACCCATTCCACATGAATTTACAGACTATTTGTTAGATCTCCTTGCAAAATGTATTTATTTCTATGTAAACGCATTGTTTCAAATAATTTACTGATTAAAGTAGTTTAACAATGTTAAAAACATATATCTGTTTGAAACAACTGGGACTGATACATTGAGTCCCAGGAAATAATGAATTTCATAAACATGATAAACAGAATAGTTTTTAATTGAAATGGTATTAAGAAAACTTTATTTTGATTCGGCATAAGTTAAAAGACACAACACAAGCTCTAAAGAGCTTTTGACCGAATATTACTATATGATACTTCAGACATGTGACAGAGTTGTCAAGCCACAAC